CCCCCCTCCCCCTGTCTTCCTGGGGCCCCCTGGGGCCCCCGCAGCAGCGCCTCCCCAGGGGCCCCGCCCCCCTCCCCGAGCGGCCTGGGGGCCCCCCGGCTCTCCCCTCCAGCCCACTCCCCGCCCGGGGGGCCCCCGGGGCGCACCGCTGGGGGCCCCGCCGCAGCCGCCATGGCCTTCGCCACCTCGGGGCTCTCCGCCGCTGCGGACCCGCCGCCCTGTGCGGCCAAGGAGGCCCTGGGGGCCCCCAACAGCCCCGGGGGGACCGGGAGGCCCTCCCCCGAAGCCACCGAGCAGCACCAGCAGCACCAGCAGCACCAGCAGCAGCAGCAGCAGCAGCAGCAGCAGCAGCAGCAGCAGCAGCTGGAGCCGCAGCAGCAGGAGCTCGCGCTCGACCGGGCGCGGCGCGGCAGCCACGAGGCCGCCGCAGACCATGCACAGAAGCAGCCAACTGCACACTGTCCCCAGGCCCGGCGCGAGCCCTCCTCCGCTGCTGACGAACAGCAGCAGCAGCAGCAGCAGCAGCAGCAGCAGCAGCAGCAGGCGCCGGCGCAGGCGTGCCGGCCTGGCGCCTGCTCCCGCGTGCGCGCGGCCCCGAAGAGTACCCCGCGTGCAGCCGGAGGAGCCGCCGCCTTCGCAGCGGAGGGTCGCCCAGCAGCAGCAGCAGCAGCAGCAGCAGCAGCAGCAGCAGCAGCAGCAGGGGAGGGTCCCCCTTCTGGCGGGGGTCCCGCGAAGCGGGAGCGCTCTCCGGAGAGCGGGGGGGGCCCCCCGCGGTCCGCATGCACCCCGTTCGAGGAGGGGGGCCCCCCCCGGGCCCCCCGGGGGCCCCCCGAAGGCCAAGAGGCCGCGGGAGCGGCCGTGGACGTGGCCGCGCTGTTCCTCTCGCCCGCTGAAGACTTGGACTCGTGGGAAGCGGACGGCCAGGAGCTGCTGCTGCCAGCAGCCTCGTTTGTCAGTGCGGAGGCCATCAGCCAACACAGGGGCCCCATGAGTTTGGCTCGAGCTGCGCTGTTTCTCTTTAGTTTGTTTCAAGGAGATGTGCGCATGGGGGTGCTTTCTGCGCAGGGGCGTTTGTGTGCGTGGCGCTGTTTGCTGTTTCTGGCGGAGCTGCACGACCGGCAGGCCGCGGGGCTGCTGCAGCAGACCCCGCCTTGCGCCGCAGGCGCTTCCAGCGGGAAAGCGTCGCCACTTCCAAGGGCCGCCGCTCCGTCCGCCACGCCTTCCTCCTCGACCGCAGCGGCGCCGCCCGCGGCGCTCCTGCTGCTGCTGCTGCTGCTGCTGCTCCCGCTGCTGCTGCTGCTGCTGCTGCTGCTGCCGGCAGCGCCGCCGGCAGCAGCTTCAGCCCCGGGGCCGCGGACGAGTGGGCCGAGGCCGAGGAGGACCCCGGCGGAGGCCCCTGCGCTGCTGCTGCTGCCAGGGAGGAGCCGCTGGGAGAAGTGGCTGCAGAGCCCACGCGGCAGCTGCCCGCGCTCAGCGGCGCGCTCGCGCTGCAGCGGCAGCTGCAGCAGCTGCAGCAGCTGCAGCAGGGGCAGCCCGCCACGCTCGGGTTCGAACCCCACTTCACGCGCTTCGTCGGAGGCTCCATTGACAGGCGGTGGGCGCTGCAGCAGCGCCACCTCAGGGTCCCCGCAGACGCAGCAGCAGCGCCTGCTGCAGCGCCTGCTGCAGCGCCTGCTGCCAAAGACGCCAAAGACGAACCACTGGACCTCCTCTTGGAGGAATTCGGAGCTGCAACAGCCCCCAAGATGTGGCCCAGGGCCGACGCGCTCCCTGAAAGGGTTTTTGTCGGTAAGCTCCCCAGCAGCACCAGCAGCAGCAGCAGCAGCAGCAGCAGCAGCAGCAGCAGCAGCAGCAGCACGCGCTTTGCGTGTTGCTTGCTGCCTCGTCTCCAGGAGTTGCCCGTGCGCCTCTGCTGGCTGCCGCTGCAGGTCTTCCCATTCAGGTGGCCACGTGGGTGGGATGGGGCCGCTCAGAGGCGGGGGACTCGGGCCGAATGCTGTGGAGAGACTGCGAGGTGGTGCAGCTGCTGCACGGCGGCGACTTCAGGGCCAGGTGCTTCACTCCGGGAGAGCCCAAGGTGAGGCTGACGCGCCTTTGTGGGGTCTGCAGCTGAGCACTTGGGCTTTTGCAGTGTTATAATAGCTCGTTAGTTGTAAGTCCACTGCAGGGACTTCAGGTTAGGGCTCAGAGTTCAGGGTTTAGGCAGACCAGAAGGGCAGAGATGCGCTTAATTTAGTTGGCGTTGCGGCTTCTGTGAGCTTAAAATTCATGTTGAAAGTATTTGCTTGAGCCTAGAGTCCTACGTTCACTGCACGTAGCTCGGAATGTGGTAGAGAGCGTTAGTGGGGGCCATGAGCTCCACCTCAGACTTGCATTTTTCACGCTGGGACTCACCAGAAACGTGGGCAGTTAGCCTTAATCTATGAAACATAAAACCTGCCGGACTGCCTCATTAAAGGCTTTAGTGGACTGGCTTTGAGCGTGTTCTACGTGCGAAGCACGATGAGCGTTTCTGAACTGTCATCATTTGCTTGGTGTGTTTGTTGTGCTAGTTGAGTTGCCCTTGGTTTTCCCGCACACTTGTGTGTTTCGCATGTTTGCTAGCCGATTGTATCATTATTTGGCCTTTTTGTTTACAACTTGCCTCTTGGCGTTGTGTGGCTTGCTCCCGCAGGACTTCGTGTGTCACGTGCGCGACTTCGTGCCTTCCCGCATGCCGTGCCCATGCCCTCGCGAGCGGGCGTGGCGCTTGCTGCCGCCCGAGGTGGACCCTTATCGGGACATATACCCAGGCGCGTGCTTGTCAGTGGGTTTGACGGTGTCGAACCCGTCGCAGCAGGAGCCGCTTCCTGCAGACTCCGTAGTTCGGGCGTACTTCGTAGACGTGGTGGTGCAGGATGTGTACTTCTCTTTAGACCAGGCGTCTCGGGCCAAAAACGTCATGGCGGAGGCGCGGGAAAGAGAAGAGGGCGGGGCGGGCCGAACGGTCTTAATTGGCCGTAGACTCGCGGGGTCTGCAGAGGCCGCAGGCCCTGTTGAAGGGCTGCGGCCAAACTGCTTAGTGCGGGCCATGCGGGTGATGGTGCTGCGCACGGGCGGCGCGTCGAATGAATTCGCCCTTGTGGCGGGCCGCATTATTTACAAGCTTCCGTACGACTTGTTCAACAACGGGATCTTCAAGGAGCCCGGCCAGAGGCCACGGCTGATGGGAGGCAGTTCGTTCGTGTGGGCGATTCCCAGGGCGTTGACCCCTGCGGCTCCAGACCAGATGAGACGCAGCGGCTGCGCAGGGACTTCGGGCAGTGGGGGGGACACAGCGGAAGCGAACGCCAAGCGGTGGCAGTACAAGACACAAGAGGATAGCCGGGAGTGGACGTTCTTCCCTCCCTTCATTGTGATTTACATGCCCTATGACGGCTCTGCGCGCCACAGCATCACCCACCCCCTTTTGCTGCGCTACCTGCAGCCGGAGCTCGACTTCTCCGCGCTGCTGCAGGGCACCTGGCGCCTCTGCCTCCCCCAATACGAGCACTCCAATGTTCCCCCCGTGCTGCTGCCGCACCCCAGCGATGCGCAGCAGCCGGAGCGGTCGCAGGCAGCCACGAGGGACCCCGGGGAGGGCTCAGCCGAAGGCGTCGTGGTGCTCGACAATCCTTACCACACTGTCCGCTCCACCGCGGCGCCCGTGGCTGAGAGCCGGTCTGCTGCCAGCAGCGAAGACATGGCGGACCCCATGTATGCTGCTGCGCATGCAGCAGAGCCGCCGCAGCCCGTAGTCAGTGGCCAGGGGGCTCCGGAGTCCGCAGCCCGCGCGAGTGTGCTGGGCATCAACCACCTCGCGAGTCTGCTGTGCAGCGGCGGGGACTCAGCGCCTCCCCGGGAGCTGCTGGCCAAGGCGCTGCCCTTCTTCCGAGGCCTTCTGCCTCACTTGGCGGCTGCCAACGTGCCGGCCGTAGACTGGCAGCTCGACGTCGCCAGAGCCGCAGTGAGGGCAGCTGATCAAGCCAAGGAACTCTACGTAGAAGAACAGGAAACTGAGGCTGAGAGACTCAGGAAACAAGGCATTTCCTTCGCTGGAACGACCATCCACAACAGCAACAACACTGAGGTAACGCAGCCACACAAGAGAGCACCCGGGCAAATATTAATATTTATGTTTGCATCCATAATTTGCACCGAAAACCTAGGAAACAGCCTATATGTTACTGTTACTACTCTTGGAGGGAAATAGTACAGCGTTTGCAAATTCCAGCGAGGCTGCTGAGAGGCGGATTGGGGGGGAAAAGAGTCATGCGTTAGTGATGCAGCGCTATGCAAAGGAAACATGTCAGCTAGGGTGTGAGCTGCCGCTTTGTTGATGTTTTCGCGTGGTGATTGCGTTGCTGTTAGTGCGTTTGCTCTTCTGCATGCAGGGTGGCCGGAGTCAGCGGGGCCTGGACGCTCCGGGAGCTGCCTTGGAACCTGAGGGCAGCGAGTCGTGGGAGTGGGTAGGCAACACTGGCAGCCGCTACCCGACCAGCAGTGACATATCTCGTTTTCTGCTGCGCACTTCGGGCCACAGTATGGGCAGCAATTCTGCAGTCAGGGGGCGCAGTGTGGAGGCGGGTGGAGCCCAAGTCGATGGCGGGGGCATCTCAGGGGCTGCTGGAGGCTCTTCTGTTGCATCGCGGCGACGCCCGCACGATCCTGTAGCTGGTTTTCTTTCGGGGAACTCACGCAGGGGTTCGGGCTCGGAGTTGGGGGCTGGCGGGGAGGGTCGTGGCCGCGGCGAGGAGGGCGCGTACATCACCAGAGGGAGCTCTGTGGCCGAGTGTGACTTCCACGGCCCCCGCAGGACAGCGGGACCAGCAGCAGCTGTGAGGGTCTGCGCCCCGGAGGATGCTGCGGGGCTGCAGCGAGCCCGGGGCCTTGTTAGCCCGGCGACGGCTGCGGCTGCAGCTCTGAGGCCCCCTGGAGGTGTGGTGGGGGCGTCGCCGGGGGCATCTTGCCGTCGGGCTGTGACGCAGCGGGAGGAAGAAGAAGAGTTTCAGCCATCCTTGCGGGGAGCTGGAGCAGCAGCCGCGGCAACGGCAGCAGCAGCAGCGAGACAGAGCAGCGGGAGTGGAAGAGCGGGTACAGTTAGGAGAGCCACGCGGAATGTGAGCTATGCAGCGCTGGCTGGAGTGGAGGCGGGGCCAGATGATCCCGCGTATTACAGACCGCTGAAGAGGATGGCCAGAGGAGAGCCCCCCACCGCCTTAGACCCGACAGCTGCGGAGGCATGGGACCCTTGCCATTCGAGGGAAGCAGCACTGACAGCAGGCACGGTCTGCAGTGACAGCCACCACAACGCCCGCGCGAGTCTGCAGCAGTGGGCCGCGCTGCAGCGGCAGGCAGCCGTGGCGGAGGAGAGGCTGCGGCAGCACAGCCAGAGCAGCCACCTCCCGGACAGAGCAGCAGATGCCACTATCAGCACTGACCAACTCCACGAGGCTCTCAAGGGTTTTGTCCAGTCATTTAAAGCTGGGGCCTCCCCAGCAGTGGTTAGCGTGCCGCCGATGGCCAGGGACAGAAGTTTTGCAGCATCGCACTAGCGGGACTTGCAGTGTCTGTTCCCTGGAGTGACGACAGATGTGAATGGGATCGTCAATCAATACACAGTTACAGTTTAGGCGACTACCGATCTGCTTGGCTAGCTAGCTAGCTAGCTAGCCAAGTAGATCTGTACTGATCTACTTGGCTAACTAGCTTGCTCGGCGCTGCTGGCGGTGAGACTTGGGCCGCCAGACAGTGGCCTCTGGCTTCTTTGTAATAATCTGCGAAGCGCAGAACGGCAGCAGTCGACTCTTCTTCAGGCTTCGTCGGCAGCATTGTTTTCGTGTCCGCTGTCAGCGGAAGAGCACAGAGGGGCCGTGCAGCTGCTGCAGCAGCTGCAGCAGCTGCAGCAGCAGCAAAGAAGACAGACGCTGTGAAGGTTTCCCGAGGCCGCCGAATGGCGGCTGCTGGGTAGCGGGAAATGAAAAGGAGGTAAGGGATAGAGAAAGGGGCTCAAGGGAGGCGGCGACGTCGCAGCACAGCAGAAGCCGTGCTGCTGCTGCTTGCCCGTCTCTCGCCGTAGTTGTGACGGCGCTGAGACGAGCAGAGCAAAGCCCGTTTCAACAGGCATGCCGAGTGCGCACGTCTTGTAGCAGTACAACAGCTGGCCGGAGCTCCCTCTCGTATTCTTGACAGTCTTGGCTGGGTCAGGCAGCGTCGGCTGTGTGTGCTGCGCTGCGACCCCAAGGGGTGAGTACCGCACCAGCCCAATGGTGCGGCACGTGAACGCCAAACGTGCCGGCAGGTTGACAGTTTGCAATCAGGGTTTTGGCTTGTTGTTAGCGGCAGCTTGCTGCCGCTACCGTAAAAGCAGCACCAGTGGCTCCAGTCAGGTATGCTGGGGGCTGTTGGAGCAATAGGCGTGCCCATTGCGCTCTGACCCGTGCGGCGGCTTTGGGTCGATATAACGAGCAGCTCCAACTTCGCTAGCCAGCACTTCATATTTATTTGATGGCTCTCGACACCTAAAGGCAATGGCCATACTCTAGTAGGTGGCTACTACGTGGAGTGCATGCGCTAGCTCGTGTCCTGTTGCTTATGCCGAGTAGGTTGAGTTCCGTACACATGAGTTGGACATCCATACTTACAGCTCAACATCATAGCCAAAAAAGTGAGGTTTAGAGAGCCTCTACGGGCACCTTAACATGACAGTTATCTCTAGAGGGGCCTGCAAAGACGGGTGCGTTCGGCCCCAGCTCACTGCAAAGCTAGCGGATGCTGCACTGCACGCGCGAAAGGTACTGCGGAACAACATGAGCTGTGGGTTGCATGCGAATGCATGCGTGAGGTGCACTGGCACTGTCAGCTCGGTATGCAAACACTTATGTGTAAAAAAACGTGAACTGGCGCTGGCTTGCTCACTGAGCTGGCCAACACAGCCGAACATAAGAAAGCATCACCCCATCTGCAAGCCTTGTTACTACTGGGCCATCTCCTGTACATAAGGGTATGAGCACCACTGTTGGTCCATATTGCTGCAAATTGCAGCGGAAGAAATGGCAATCATGGGAGCTACTGAGTCGAGACCGGAGGCTTGTCTCACATGTGCACAATATTCAGTAAACTCCGGTATGTATGTTGTTACTTGCGCTCCTAGTTGTCTCCTTGAGGTCTTTTTAATGCTGCACGTGGCAGTGTCGCTACACAGGAGACCTCGTGGTTTGACTGAGGCATTGTTGAAATCGTGTTGAAGCCACTTCACACTTAGCAGCGCCGACTGCAGTCACCTTCGGGATCCTGGAGGAAAGAACAGCCTCTTACGCAAAACCTCAGCCTCAAAGCGGCCGGGCTCCGCAAAGCTTAGGTTGGCTCTTTCAAGCCTTCGCATTTGTTGTTCCTCTATGCGCTGCACTGCCAGCTCCACTCTGCAGTTAGTTACTTCGCGAAGCGTGGAGTTGTTCTCTGCAGACGTTTTCGTCTCGCCTTCTTCTTTCTTGGACACTCTTCCGCCCTCCTCAGACGCCTTTTCTGTCCCTTCTTTGGGCTCCTTCTGCTCGTGATGTGTCTGAAGCTCTTGAGCTCCCTGGGGGCCTCCTTGATGCTGCTGCTGCACTTCTTCAGTTCGCGCATCTTCGCCGAAGTCCGTACAGTCCGGCACCAAGCAGCTGCAGACGCAGCCCTCACGCTCTTCCTTGCCAGTTAATGGTCGAATCCCAACATCTGTCCAGTCGTCGGCGTCGCTTTTGGCTCCCAACACTCCCTTGTCTGTTTCATGCAAAGCTCTGCTGTCCAGGCCGTGGAGGCGGCAGACGCCGTGCCACATATCTGAAATGTCGCACTCTGCATGCTCTTTCTCCTCACCAGCTTCTTCTGAGTCCACTAGCCCCAAGTCAATCACATCCTCCTCAAAGAACGCATCGACTTCGTTCTGCGTGTCCAGCGAAGCCAGGGAAACGGTCTTCGCACGGGATGTTTCACAGGAGATGAACTGCTGCGGCGACGTCCCTTGTAAAACCCAGTCACTGTCGGCGTTCGTGGAGCTTTCATAGTTTTCCAGGGTGTCTTCGTTCCCCTCTGTTGCCTTCTCTTCAGGGTCCTCGCTGCTGGCCAGCATGTTTTCAATCGACGAGTCCAGAGCAGACCTGTCACTGTCGTTGCTGCTGCTGCCGCCACGGATGGTCTCGCAGTTTCCCTCTTCTTGATTGCAGTCGATGTCACCCTCTTCAGGGGATGTCGGGACAGTCTCAGCAAGCACCTGAAGGCTTGTGTTGGCTTCTCCAACTTGGCCAGGCCGATGACCCGCAGAGCCGGGCACAGGGTTTAGGGCCTGAGCCCGGATGCCCGCCAGAGGCTCCGTCCTGTTTCGGCACTTGGGACTATTGTCAAGCGTTTGAATTGGTTCCCGGAGGTACGTTGGAAGAACCTCCCAACGGAGCTTTGTGAAGTCCACAGCCTCGTCGATCGCTCTCTCCCTTGAACAGCTTTGGCACCGGCCAGGAGACCTTTGCTGGGGAATAATTAGTTCGGATCTTCTGGCGCCCTTCATCTTGAGCTCTTCAGCGCTTCAACGAGGGACCCCTGGCACCTAGGGGCCGCAGAGCGCTTCGGTGATCTGGAGTACGGCCGCTGTGGAACACCACTCTACAAGAATGAACTGCTCCTTTAGCTTTAAATAAGCCCAACTTTGAAAAATTCCGAGATGTGAACGCTGAAATGCCGGAAATCCCCAACAGCAAAGTGTGCTCGCAGGTAACCAGAGTGCGTGCCGCCAAGCGGCTCACCACAGGCGACAACTGTCGGTGCAGCCCCTGCTTCAAAGTTTTTCAGCTATGTACGAGCACTCTTCACTCAAAGAATAGTCATGCGCTTGCAACGAAAGCCAGGAGAGAGTGCGAACTATCTTTCGAGACTGCTCCCCCTTCAAGGAAGGCATTTATGTCTAGCGAGCCTTGCAAAGCTCGACGCCCTTGTCTACGTTGATCTGTACGTAAGAAGCAGCCGATTCTTCGTAAAGTCGAAAGGGCATTTAGAACTTGTGTAATGCAAAGAGTCACAATACGAACCATAAACGTTTTGGTAGTGTGCTCACTAACGGAAGAGTGCCCATCTTCGGGGTGGTCCTCCCGGTGACTGAGATTGCTCCGCAGCGGCGCGGCATTGTTCAATGTAAGCAAAAACGTAAAAATCAAGGCTGCAACAAAGTCAAAATATACCGAAGGTTCGGTTTGTTTGTCTCTTTTTTTTTGTGTAACCAAGGATCAATTGAGACACCTTAATTCCACGCTGCATTTAGAGCCCTGTTCAGTGTGTTGACCCCCTGGCTTCCTGCCTTCTTTGCTCTCCGACCATGGGGTGTAGGAAACGAACCATTGGTCACCGAAACAAAATCACGAGGCGCTCGCCTACCTTACGTGGGCAGTTCCGTATGCTTTTCAAGCATTGTGAATGCGCATAGTGTGCAGTGAGAAGGGGCGGATTGGCTGCCGCCAAACCCAAAAGCTGAGATCCACCGGATGGGCAGAGGGCGCCAGCTCGGGAGCCCCAGCTACACAATTTTGCTTGGGGCTTCCCCAAAAGCTTGATTTGGTATGACGCAAAAGGCAATTTCTCGCCTTTTCCCGTTTTTTCCCGTGCACCTCAGTGCAAATATTGCCTTATTAGACGCGGCGGGTGCCAGCATCTTCAGTTTCCTGTTTTATGGAATTTTTCATTGTCACTTCATGTGAATATGGCCGCGAAGTCAACTAAACTTCCCAAGAAATGCATTGAGGGTGCAGAGCCCTCATGAGGCGCGAAGATGGTGGCCTCTGTCCGGTCGACCTCAGGGCACGCCCGCGAGCCCTCGGCAGCCAGTGACTCGACTCCGTCCAGTGGCTACGTGGAGGTGGGGCTCTCAGAGACGGCCAACTTGTCTTTTGAAATTAGGCACTCATTCCTGAACTGGCTGCTGCTCCTGGTGCTGCTTGGGGGCACTTCGATTTGCGGGGGGGTCTTCTATTACTGTGTTCCCCTGCGTCATGAATTGACGGACACCGTGAGATCGCACCTGGCGAACACCCCTTTCAAAGAAGGAGAGAGCTTTTTTCTCAGGCCGTACTCGGGGGGCTGGCGGAGTGTTTCGAGTTTCTCGAGAACCGTGGAGCTGCGCAATGTGCGTGTAAACGCGTACACTCGGCCTGAAACCACTAGCTACACTATCGCAGCTGGCGCCGTGACCACGTGGGACGATGTTGAGGCCTGGCTGCTCAAAGTCCTCGCCCCCACGCTCTACACCGGTAGCCTGGGCGGATCAGTTGTGGTGCAACTGGCTACGCTGTACCTCGCCAAGGGCAGTCTTGAAGACAACCCAAACAGCAACACAAAGAATCTCATAAACAAAAGGCTCAACTTCGATGGTTCGTGTTAGGGACTCGTCACAGCAGGATAAAGGGCCGCAGAAACAATGTAGAGGGACCAAGTGCAGCATGCTGTCCAGCTTCGCCTGCTGAGTAATTCTGATGGCGCTTGCTTGCCGTTTCGCCTGTGTGCATACAGTTGCTGAGGAGAAGACTGTGGATTTCGGGGAAGTCCTGGGAGGGACTTACGCAGTGGATGCGACGAGCACCATACAGGCCCTCGGCACTGAAGGCTGGTGGGGGCCGCTGACCACTGAGGCTACGTTGACAATCAGAGGCAGAGACGGCAACGGGAATGAGTGCAGTGCGTTTGAAAGCGACCTTTTGCGAGTGGATGTGCCTTCTCTGGCGCATGCAGGGCTTCCTGACCAGTAGTGGACCACAAAAAGGGTGCACGCAGTCTTAGTTTTCCCTTCTTTCCGTAATTATGTTGCGGAGAACTGCAAGCTAGGGCATACAGTGCGATTGGTTTGGCTGTTCAGTGGCAGAGGTCATCTTCAAGCAGCAGCCTTCAGGCTTGGTGACGGGAGAAGTTAAAGTTGCCTCAGTGATTGTTACGGGAGGTACTTTTGCCTTTGCCTTTGCCGTAATCTTTTTTCTGGCATCCGTTGGCTACTTTGCAGTAGAATGCTTGGCGTTCAAGCTTGTGAAGAGGACTAGGCGGTGAGCTCGAAATTATCACAGCAGATTTGTGTGTGTTGTGCACCCACATACACGTGGACACACAAGCTTGCCTGCTCTTGTGTCCACCTGTATACGCGTCATGCACAAAAATGCTTTTGTACTTGTTCCAAGCCGCTTCTGCCTTAGAGTCAAACTTTACACATTTTGGAGGCATATTTCGCTCGAATTGTGCCCAGAAAATTGAACATACGTGGTTCTAGTGCATTTCATACAGTTTTGTGCTACTACCACGGTATGTGAGTGACTGCTCGAATTTAGTACAGAAGAGTAGGCATGACTCCTATGCTTGTAAGATGCAGTGTGTCACGTCTTGCTTGGTCACTGTGCAGTCTTGGCGAAGACCGAACACCTTTCTACCGCTACGTGGAAGAACGGTGGCCATGCGCATTTTTAGCCTGTACCAGCTTGTTGGGGGGAGCTCTGCTGCTATCATGCTGCATTCTGAGCTATATCATACCTCACTCCGGCTTCAATTACACAGCAGTGAAGGCCCTTGAAGGTCAGACATTAGTTCTTACTTGCTTGCTTTCTCACCTGGTTGAGAGGGTGCCGTTGTACTGTTCTGTGTTTACTTCTAAGGCAGAAAGGTATATTCTCGTCACTTTATCACTCAGCTGCATGTTTGAAAGCCTCCAAGTGTGACTTATCCACAACTCCCCTAAAAGCGCTGAAGTATACACAACACTTCGTGGTTTGCAATGCGATGCAGTTCTCGAGGGGGCGTTGGGGGTCATAGTAATCGTCAACGGGTGGGCATTCATCCTACGGCTTCTTCATGCCCTCTCTGGCGCGAGCATCTACTTTCTTGTTCTAGAAAAAAGCGCTATAGTGGCAGTGAACGATTTCGGGGGCATCTTCATAGTGACGCTGCTGTTACTCCTTGGTGCTTCGGCTTGCAACTACATACTTCTAGGTATGAGACCACTGATATGACGCTCTCCTATTTTATCTAAGCGTTTTGCAGTCGCATCCAGAGAAACTGCCTGAGAGGCTGAGTGAAACAGCGAAAGGGCATTTGCTTTAGGCCGTTTCTGCCGTGCTCAGTGGCTAGTTTAGGAGTGATGCAGCCCACACAGTTGTAGGAGTCGCAAGCCAAGCTTGTTGTTTCCTCCGCAGCTTTTCCACACTTTGTCGGCTCTTTTTTCTCTGTTCCTGTGGTAACGATGCAGGTCCTCGCGTTCCGCAGTTTCAAAACTTCGGCTCATCAATTTTCTACACTGTATGTTCAAGCTTCGGCGCTCCGTTCATTTACTCAATGCCTCCCGTCGCGTTCATCGTGGCCGCCATTAGCCTGCTTGTATTTTGGGCAGTCATAGTTCCCATGTTGGTGGCAATCCACATTCAGTCGTTCAGCGCTGTGGTCAAAAAGGTCCGCGAAGAAGAGAGACAAAACCTCGGTAAGCTTAAAGCAAGGAGGCTACTCACTGACTTGTTGTTGCTTCTGTTGAGTCCGTTTAACACTGTGTGTTTAGCTATGGAGCATTTGTCTGTCTGCAGAGCTTTCTTATGATATCTATATATTTAAAAATGTCACATTTCTTCTCTTCCCAGCGCGTGGAGAGAATATTGATCTGCTGAACAAGAACCGTCGTCTGTGTGTATTATCACCCTAAATGCCTTTTCAGGGTCCGATATAATCAGTGGTGCTCGCGCATGGATACAAAATAATATTTTTTTCTGCACACCAGATCCCAAGGAAGACAGCCTCTTTGGAGACGTAGGCAAAATTCTACAGTATTCACGTTTAAATCGCCTGTGTTTTGTAACACTGGTTAATTACAGCAGCCATAGACGTGTTTTCGCTTGCCGACAGTCACACTAAAAGCTGTAGTCGGAATCTAGCTAGTCTGGACAGTCATCTGTGATTGATCTGTTGACTCCAGGAGGTGCAGGACAGGGCCTTGCAGATTAGAGAGGAGGAAAGAGCAATCATTCGAGCACACCTTGGTAAACGGGAAAAGAAGGTGCAGGTCTCAACAGCTGAAGACACGGCTGCGAAGGAATACAGAAAGCTGGTGGCTCTGTTTGTTCCCTTCATTCTCTTCTTTTCATTGGGAATTTGCTTCCTCTGTGACACCCCACTCGTTCACCGCGAATTTAGGAAATCTATAGAGCAAATTATGCAGCCGTTCAGCACAACCGACCCCTTTATGACCCGCGACGCCAATGTTAAGGCTCCTCCCGTATGGATGGCGTCTCACTCGGAATGCAACCCGACGCCCAAGTCTTTTCCTGCCAACCAGCCGGAAGTGAGTCGCTGGTGGAGGAGCTCAAAAAAGCTGTAGCAAGCCCTGAGGGACTGATTACTTCAAGGGAGCAGGCGCTCATGCTGCTGCTGTCTGTGCGTGCGTGCGGTGTCACTGTGCCTTTTTTTCAGGGCGTAAAACGTTTTATTCCAATCACTAGTGTCAGATCCATCGCGGGTGTCTATGATTGGCTAGAGCAGGTTTTAGCTGGTCAAATTTTGAACGCTGCCTACAATTTGCCGTCGACGACAAACGCTATTCCCCTCGCAAACCCAGGGGCGTTGCTGCTGTTGACACGAGTAAATTTGGAGTGTCAAACGTTCGAAAAATGTGAGTCGTACGTAAACTACTCCTTTATTGCATCAGTGTTCAACTGAAGATTTCGTTCCAGTGATTTTGGGGCGGACGCTAGCCGCTGAAAGTGATGTACGCAGTTGCCCGCTCTGATGGTCTCGCGGCTAAGTGGTTGTGAAGGCTTTTCTTATTGTGTTCTGCTTTTCTTCTGCAGTGAAGGAGGTGTATCCCGTCCGCCGTAAGCGAACAACCTTCCGCAATTTGACCACTGACGCATATGGAGGGGGAAACTATCGGCCTACACCTGAGCGCGTGTACAGAGTGCCAATATATTTCTCCGGCGACGACCCTCCAACGACATCCGTGAGCAATGAAAACAGCTCTGGAACACGAAACCGCCGAAGGCTGTCTGCAGAGGCTGAAGCCCCTCAGCCCACGACTGCAAGACGCCTCTCCGTGGATTCCTTAATAGACATCACGCAGGCTAGCGATACGCACTGGACAGCGGCAGATTTCCAAGAGATATATGTGGGGCCCACGTCAATGAGAACCAAAATGGAGTATCTGCGGTCTCAAGGCTTTCTAGACTGGCAGCTGGTAGAGTTGCAAGTTGTGTGGATGAGCTACAATGGAGACTCGAGCATGTTTGTCCTCAACAAAGTCAGTGTCTGGCTGATGCGCCCCTTGTTGGTAGTAATTGAATGCGGCAGGCAGTCGAAGCAGTTGCTTGCCTTGGCATGCCACAGGCACGTCAGTCACAAATCTTTACTGTTGGCAGTCAGATGCGTTTGTGGTGTACAGGTCAACGTTAAAATAAACGAAGGGGGCTTGAACACCAGCTTGAAAGTGACGGTTGTCCCGTCTTGGCATGTTAATCCTGTCGAGACGGGCGTGCGGCCTGAAGTGGTCTTCATGCCATTGGCTCTGGTCTGCTTGCTTGCTTATCTCTGCATGTCGTATGTGTCGGTGCAAAAGCGGCGTTTGCACCCCATGAACCTCATCATTCTTGACCTGCCACTGGCACTGTCTTTCGTTTGCTGTTGCTTTTTCTTGGTGTGCATGTATAATGTTGCATTTGACCCCGGCTGGGCTGATGAGCTGAGCTCGCTGGCCGTAGCGGCTCCAGGAGCCAGCACAGGGCACATACCGAAGTTTGTCCCAGGCCCTGTGCAGCCATGGCAGTGGCTCCCAGGCAGCTTCAGCAGTAAGCCGCAGGCCACCAGCTCTGCCTCGTGGCAAGAATAGCATGCATTTATATCAAGAATAGTTTGGAGCTTTACGTAGCCACCAGCTTTTGTCGTACGACCTAGCAGGTTTCCTTTTTTTCTGTTATTGCACCCCATGTTGCGCCTCTGTTCTGCCGCCTTCTGTACAATATTTGCAGCTCCCACCCGATCTGAGCCGTGTCCTTCTGCCGAGTCCCTCACTCGTTTCCTCCGCCTACAGGAGCACCTTGAGATGATTTCGCATTACCTTTTCTTCTGCAAAATATGCACTGGCTTGCTGTTCATAATAGCCCTAATTCGTTTTATCACGATGGTCCCCGCCATACCGGAGAGAATGCAAAGCTTGCGGAAGCTCCTGTCGCACCTTCACGCGGCCAAGATACAAACGGCTTGCACTTTGTGCACACTTTTCAGCTCCTTCCTGTTATTTGCTTTGATTGGTGAATTGGCACTTAAACAGCTGCGCATTAATGCGCTACAAAGCAGGGAACTAGAGGAGGCATAGTATCAGAACAGATGCCTTTGAGGCTAACGCAGGCAGGCAGCCTATGTTCAGTTGTGCTTCAGCCTACTGCCGGGCTTAAGTCATCCCATTACCCCAGAGGGCGCGCACTGTGTTCATGCAGTAGATCGAATGAAATTCGGACTTATGTATGATGCCGATTGCTCTCTGCAGGCTACTGCGTGTTGGGCGGCACCTATAACGGCTTTTCGAGCTACGCAAACGCGGTTGTGTCTTGTGTGATGCTGACACAAGCCAAGTGGAACTTCAACTCTGTGATTACTATATCGCAGCAGGGCCGGAACATCGGCTGGCTCTTCGAATTCTTTTCCATCGCAGTCTGCATGCTTTTCTTTGGATTCATGAATTACATCGTCCTATCCATGATATACGTTCGGTAAACAACCTCTACTTAAAAAGCAGCAGCATCTTTCATCATGCTGCTCGCACAGCGGTTGCTCCATCCCTTACTGAATAATAGAGCAGCATGAGTGCATTTAAGGAATCTTTCGCTGGAAAAAGAGGCCATTAGTTAAGCATTAGCAACACTTGCCTACCACCGTCTGTGCGGGCTGCATACCCGCTCACGAGTACACTTGCGTGCTTCTGGAGATACGTATGCACATGTACATCAACACATTCCTCTACTTGTTTACTGGTCCCCAGCAGGAGACAGGGTGTTGCGGCTTTCTGCGGCTGGTTTTGCAGCTACGAGTCACTGAAAGCTGAAGAGGTAACGGAGATGCAGGCGGCGCTGGAGGCGAAATATGGCGTCGTGCCCCGAAAGCGCGTTCCTTTGATGGTTAATGAAACGGTAGTCCTTTACTTTAAGGTGAGATTTAAGACAACGATAGGAGAAATATTTGAAATACTTCAATACTTGCAGCAACCCAATGCAAGGATAACATTCCCGCATGTGCCATGTTGTCATGTTGTGTGTGTATTTCATGTTTCCAGGCCTTCGTGAAGTGTCTTTCACTGCAACAATGGGGTGTTCACCTTGACGAAGGACAGCAGGTGAATACCCACTTTGGAAACCTGAAGGACGAGTTTTTTATGTCTCTCAGGGACCTTCCACAGTTGACCAAAGAACCAAGAAGTACCCAGGCAAGCAACCTTCCCTTGTCAAATAGTGACACTAAGTGAGAACAAGTTTATTTTTGGTTCTTCTTCCCACGCTTTAAGTGGGTCGAGTTCCTACGCGTACGCTACAGGTCCTGTTCATGGTTTTGCTTGCTGCGATACAGGAATACATAAGCAAGGCTCTGCTCTCCACCCAAATTGTTCGGTTGCAGCAGTGCCTCACGGACATTGAATTTCTGCGTGCGAAGCACTACCTGATTCTCCGTGACCTTGGAGTCATCGGTAAGAATTCTATGAAGAATTTCTGGGATTGCTTAAACGATGAAGGCGCGACGCAGGACTTGACCATGTAGTATTTCTGATTCGTAGTTAATGTTGGTTAGAGTGCTGTCAGTATTTCTTCCATTGTTGCCTTTTTTGCAGCGGAGCAAATGAAGATTCTCCGAAAGATCACCAGGAGACAGGGAAGATACGTAGCGGGGGTGGAAGCCGCCATACAACATGTGAACAATCAGATTGAGGAGGTGCAGGCACGGAAGGAGTTCATTTCGTTCTACTTGCTGCAAGACCCTATGCATGCAAGACAGCAGCTGGAGCAGAACCAGCTGCTTGATCTCGGGATGGACATTGGGCTGAACGCAGCAAGAAGGGCAGTTGGTAAGCATTGTCATCGACACTTGCGGATTTGTTATGATAGAAACAATAGGCTTGGTCGCCGCTGCCGTCACGAAAATTCACGTAACAAATTCTTCACGTGCAGAGTAGTGTTGATTATTATTTGCTTGCAGTTGATCCACGCGCGTATATTCCTGAGTCCCGCCTGGACATAACTCAGTGGGAAGACCTGGAGCGTAGGGAACGAGCCATAGAGCAACGGCAGCGTCACCTGAAGGACAATACGCCTCCGCCAAGTCTCCATGCTGCCCGCAAGAAACAAATGAAGAAAGACCAGCCTGCAGTAGAGAGCCCTACGCTGCTGCCTCAGGCACCGCTAAGCCCACGCGTCGGCATAGCAGGCCTGGGGACCTCCCCGTCAGCTCCACGCCGCCAGACTGTCGTGCCTATCCCAGGGGAGCCTCCATGGAAAGCATTCGTCTGTCCGCAACCAGACAGGCCTTCCAGCCCTGCGAGAGAAGAGTCGGCGGATAGTGACGAAGAGGATGACTGGGACACTTTGAGGCAGCAGTACGGCGGAACTCACCAGGGAACGTTCGAGCTGCGAGAGAAGGGCGGTGAAATAGTTCTGGTGAAGCCGTTCCCCGAAGCGCCAACGGAGGGGCTGCCCATGGCCACCATAACGCAGCCTCGCAGGCGCCCGCGGCGATCCTCAGTCAAGGCTTCCGATTCTGAGAAAGCAGATGCAGCGTCTCCGTCACCTCGGGCTTCTGTGGCGCCGCCCCCAGCAGCAAGCCCCGCTGCGGGCGCAAGTTCGCCGGTTCCGGTAACAGACTTCTTCAACGAGGACGAGGGCCCAAGGCCCAAGACAAACGCTCCAGAAATTGCGGAACAGAGAGAAAGAGAAACCAAGGTGCGGCAAAGACCGCCACCGCCCAGGAAACAGGACAGCCGAAGGGCAAGCGTTAGTCTGCCAACCTTTGAAGCAGGTGGCAAGGAATTTAGGATGCTGCCCCGAAACAGAAGGAAGAAGTAAACTGCGATGTGTTTTTATTGACGCATTTGGGAGGCAAAATGCCTCTATTTGTGCGCCTAGATTCATTCAACTCGTGTCGCGCTGCTCCACGCGAAGTTTACAGAGGTGCCATGGAAAAGTAGCACGGGAAAGACTTCACGTGTGTGCTGATACACTAAATGCAGTGGCTAGTTCATTGGAAACAGTACAGCAGCGAGTGAATTTCAACGAACTATCTTCCCTACATAGTGTAGAAAAGAGGGAGTTCGTGTTTGAGTGGCAACTGGGACTGGAGGTGACAAAATTAAGCGTGCTAGCTTTTCTGTGTGTAACATATCCGAATACATGATGATGGTAATGGCGGGAGTTTGCAGGGCTCAAAAGGGTCTTTCGTTTGCGGCCAATTGCGCTTGAATTCATGGCTCTGCTTGTGTATACGAGAAGAAGTGAAGGCAGTTGGCCGAGGAATTAAGAAAGCTGTGAATGCTAGGGAGATTCACACAGCGGACCACGGAGGCCTTGCCAGAGCTGTGATTGCCACCGGTCTCTGGGCGCTGCCTTTCTCTTAATTTTGATTGCCTTTCTTGTCTACCAAGCCACCGAAGAACAACACGGGCCAAGAAGCCCTACAAGGCAAAGATCAGCTCTCAAACTATCTGAGCAAAGGCTGATCCCCAGCGAAGCCTTACGTCAAAAGAATGATGCATGTTAAATAGTGAGCGGGGCAGTGAAGACGATGACTGCAATGTAGGAACCAATCATTGTTCGTCAGAACAGGCCTACGGCCTACGCACGACTCGTGCTTCTTCTGAAGGGCTCTTCAGTGCTTAAAAAGCGAGCTACGCAAAAGAGCAAATGTGCCCAAGACTTATCTATCAGTCGCCGTGGCTTAGCTCTTGAGCTTTTACATTAGCAACCCTGTGTGGGCGTTTCCATAAGACGCTCGCGACACCTGTGAGGCCGTGCCTCAGCGTAGCATTTGTGCGCGTGAAACACAAAGCGTGGCCACCTTGTGGTGGGTTATGAGTAAGATATAATTGGATGGATCCTACAATGCGAAAAAATATCTGAGAGCAAGATGGGTTTGAGTCATGCTTCTTCGAGTCTGCAATGCGTTGCGTGTTCTGAATTCTGTTTCACACCGGAGCAGCACGGCGGAGTTTCAAATCCTACAAATCTACTCTTCAGGCTGTTTTTGTTGTCCTCTAATTCGGAAAATAGTCTGTTTCCGTGTGGGGTCACCTCACCGCTTTGAATAGTACTGGCATGCCAATTCTTTTAAAGTCAGTCCCTGCCGCTGCCGGAGATTTGTGATTATTGTCGCAAAGCGACATAGAATGATACAAGAGAAGCAACACTGGAGAAACAGTGTAGCGCTAAAAGCTTTGAAAAAGCCATTGACCAGCTCTTTCAGCAAGTGAGCACGGGCTGATCCTTTGTGAAGAAGCCCTATGCCAAACGAATGATGCATGCTAAACGACAATGATGTTAAAGCCGAATAAGTGCCTAATCGTCATGAAGCTACTTTTTACTCCGTTGCAAGCTCTATTATAGTGCAGTTAGCCTCTAGGCACTTGTTATTCCGGAATTGTCTTAAGAGCTACCACCACTCGACAGGCGTCCACAACGGTTTCATTGGGTATTTTTTCTTTCGTCTATTCACCGGCACACACTGCAGACAACTGCATCAATTTTTTATTTTTTCCTTCATGCTTCTCCGTTTTGGGGAGTCTTCGATGGTGAAGCGATCTTTCAGTTCATCCCCGCCTTTTTGGTCAGTAATCACATGCAGCTGAGCGAACGCGCTATTCCTCCATCAATGAGAAGCATCTGAAGCGTTTCATGCATGGCTTTTGAGCTTCTGTAGAAAGCCGTGGCCTAACTTTTTCCCCAGTGAGCACGGCAGCTCCATGGAGCAAGAAGTGGCATGGCCCGAAGAGTATAGGACGGGGCACTGCAGGTCATAGCTGGTGAGTGGAATTCAGTGAAATGGCAAAGCGCAAGACCTTTAATTCGGTGGAGGCGCAGCCGTCCTCTCCCTTTTGGCACCCAGCGGGGGGAAACTCCGTTTGGTGGCGGCACTACGGCGCAGCTTCGAACCAGCTGTACAGCCAGTGTGCGGCTAAGAGGGGCGCAGCAGCGAGGGCCGATTGCTGCCACTTGTACAACTTGCATGCCTCGCAAGCCGTCTTCCGCTTGCCGACTTGCTGCAGAGTCGGCGGCGCCGTTCCCGGCGAAGCTGAAGGCGCCGAGGCCCGCGAAAAGTGCCAGTGCAGCCGCGTCGCCATTTTCGACCTTGACGGCACACTCATAACAACTCGCAGCGGCAAAAAGTTTCCCACTTCCGCGCAAGATTGGAAGCTTCTCTTCGACCCGCACGTGCGGGCGAAGCTCCAGCGGCTGCACGAGCTCGTGAGCGCAGGAGCTCAGAGATCTCCCTCTCTTTGCATGCCGTTAAAGTCTTAGAGAACAGTTGGCAAGAATTCCGTAACTTTGCTGTTATTTGGTGCACATGCTGCTGCCATTTCATCTTTTGTGCAAATTTGCTCCTGTTTTTGCCGCGTAAGCTGTGCGGAGGTTTCTTGCACTTGAGTTCAATTTGAAACTGGCTGATGGCGTTTTGCTGTGATTGCTGCTGGCGGCTGCTGACGAGGGCACTGACAGGCTGTGGGTGTCTCTTTCAGGGCTATTCCATTTTTATTCTGTCGAACCAACTGGGCGTGGCCGTTGGCCACGTGTCGCTGGAAGAGATAACCAGCAAAGTTGACGGAGTCCAGCAGGCGCTGGCGGTGCCTCTGACTGCCTGTCTTTGCTGCTGCGACGACCTCTACAGGAAGCCCCGGCCCACGGCCGGGGCCTTCATTTTCAAAAACTTGCTTCCCCTGCTGCAGCAGCAGCAGCAGCAGCAGCAGCAGCAGGTTGCAGCTGCAGCCAGCGAGGACTGCAAGTATCCGCGCGTGTTCTACGTGGGCGACGCCGCGGGGCGGCCGGGCGACCACAGCGCTGCGGACTTGAAGTTCGCGTTGAATGCTGGAATTCGATTTTTCACTCCTGAGGAGTTCTTCGAAGAAAAGGCTGCGCCGCTGCTGCCGCTGCTGAGCCGCAGAGCAAGTGAGGGGAAGCAGCAGCTTCTGGGGGGCGGCGAGGGGAGCCTGGGGAGTGCGGGGAAGCGGAAAGCAAGCGAAGTTGCTGCAGCGGCCTTCGACCCCTGCGAGCTGCTGAAGGGCGAGGCTCAGCCTCACAAGAAGAGCGCCACTGACACGGAAACTTGCACTGAGGCAAAGGCCCCTGCGCAGGAGCTGGTCGTCCTCATAGGGGCCCCGGGCAGCGGCAAGAGCACTCTGGTGGAGAAGCTGTTTCCAGGGCACGGCGTCGTGCGCCAGGACGATCTGAAGACGAAGGCGAAGTGCGAGGAGCTCTGCGCGAGGCTCCTTCGAGAGGGAAGAAGTGTGGCGATAGACCGGCAGAACGCCACCAAAGAAGACCGCCAGGTGTTCATACAGCTGGCGAAGCAACACGCCCCCGGCTGCGCAGTCCGCGGCCTCGCGCTGCTCTGGCCGAAGGAAGTTTGCCTCCACTTGGGGCAGTTCCGCAGCCTGGCGGCCGCGCTGAGGGCTCGAGCTGCTGCAGGCGCTGCTGCAGCGCCGGCGCAGTCTGCCTCTCGCTTTCGGCTGGCGAAAGTGCCGAAAGTGGTGGTGAATTCGTTCTACGCGAAGGTGGAGCCGCCCACGCTGGAGGAGGGCTTCGGCTCGGTGGAAATCCTCCAAGACGTCGCCAGGGACTTTCTCCTGCACAACGACTTCGTCTCCGATGAAGAAAGACGCATATTTGCCTCCTTCTTAGACTGACTCGAAGGGCTCTGCAGCGAGGGCCCCCAGCTTCCCGCACTCTGTCGCTGTTGCTGGGCAGTTCTGTTCAGGCGGGCGGGGCTGCCCGCCCCGGTGGCTTTCAGACAGCTGAGTTGCCTCTGCACTGTGCGGCGCGCGGCAGCAAAACTCTTCTATTCCGTTTCCGCGCTGCTGTGTGGAGTGGAGCAGCAGAGAGCTCAGCCCGAACACAAGACAAACTTGAACTCGGAACCTTAACGTGGGCGGCGTGTCATGCTTTGGAAGTAGAATGCGATTTAGTGGGGCCAGTGCATTTTGATGGATTCTCTTTTCACATGGATATCGTGTTGCTGCTGTCTTGCAGGCTGTGCTAAAGAACCAGCCCTAACAGCCTACAGGCCACAGACACAGTGATGTTTGAAGTCTTAGGAGCTGCGGTGGTTACAGCAGCAAAGGAGGGGAATGTGGCACATGGAGAACGTAGCTACGGGTTAAGGTAGTCACCTCAGGCGTTTGTGTGGGGCTCTTAGAGAGGTCGACGCTCTTCGCCCGCATTGCTGTGTCTGGGGTACTGCTTAGATGAGCTCTCTTGCCCTCCTTCACACTGTCATCACGTTTTTGCCACATTTTGACTGTTTTTGGTGTCTCTCGTGTCCTTTTGTTTGCCTTTGTGGGAGTTTACATCATCAGTGGCCGCGTCACGACCTGCGCACACCGAGTGCTGCGCTCTGACCAGATGTTGAGGAGAACAGGGCTCCTGCCGGCCTTTTTGGTACTATGAATCATGACGCGATAAACTTCAATTTGGCTTAAGAGTTTCGATGTAGTAAAAGTTAGTGCAACACACGTAGTTACCGGCTGGAAGGCTCTCCTGCGCAAGTGCTCGCCTAAAGGGCAGCAGTGGCTGTTTCCGGGGGACGCCGCAAACCTAAGCTGATCCTTCATAGTTAATCGTTATAGAGCGTTAATTGAGATTAGAATTCAGGAAACCTATGCTACAATTAAACAGCAGGCCAACAGACCTGCTCACGCTCCGCACCGTTCCGAGTTCTGGGACGAGCTTTTTGTGCAGTGCTTTGCATCTTAGTAAAATCCCGGTTTCACGTTGCCTCAAGGAGTAAGCAGCGTTCAAAAAATATTAAGTAGACTATGAATGGAGTTAATCGGCTTGATATTGTTAATCACTAGGTCCACTGCCCGATGGCCCACACAAAGCCACGAGTCAACGTCAGCAGTTAGCCCGGTTACGAAGGCCATGCGCAGCACATGGATCTGAGAGTAGAGTTGTATCTGCTGAGAGAGAAAGAATACCGTGTTTTTTAAAGAGCGCTCTAGCTATGTGGTTGTAATTTGTCCATTGTAGTGCCAGGCACTACACTTCGCCAGCTTCGCTCAGTGCCCCCTCGACGTGATTCCGTTGAGGCGAGACCCGAGTCATCAAAGGAACCCGATGGAGGGTCTTTCTTACCACCGTTTTCATTGTATTACGATTCATTCATTTATAGCAGCTGCTCTTTGAAGCCGGCCTTGAGCCCGGTACGTGGTTAAGGGGCTCCCTGGGCTGAGCCACGCCTGGCCAGTTGACGCAGTCCATTGTTTTGCCGCAGAGTGTACTGCTGGAGAGTTGCCAGTGGATGTTTCCAGCGGCTCACAAGCACGTTCGGCTCAAAGATGCCATTTAGGTTCTCACTAAGGCGGCCAGTGGCCAGCCGAAAAGTAAGCCAGCAGTCTGGCACCGATTTGAGGGGCTCGAAGGACCAACTCAGCTTAGTTGAAGAGCGCAACGATGAGCAATGCGGGCAAACTGATGCTACAAACGGCCCCAACAACGCCGTCCTGAGGACTTCCGTAGCTCATGCAGCTTCCCCAGCAGCCACTATGGAGTCCCGGCCATCTTCGTTTCTGAGGCGAACTCTGTCGAGCCTCTCCATGAGAGTCATGCCGAAGATGCGGTCGGATAGCAGCAAAGGTTCGCGCGAACGGGCACAAATGGGCTTGAATAGCGACGTGCGCTCAGATCAACTGTCCGGGGGAATACGGCCAGGAGTGGAAGCGCCTAACCCAGCAGATCTTGAGCACACAAGAAGAGGATTCCACAGCTTACGCCAGCGGTTTCACGCAGCCTATCACCCTCTCCCCGGCAGAGTTCTTGGGGGGCAGGATGGCACAAGTGAACACGCCCTGCACATGCCAATCCCCTTGCGGCACCTTCATTTGCCGCACATTCTTGAGGGGCGGCTGCACCACTCTTCCCACCCTATTGGGCTCACCAGCGCAGACCAAGAAGCTGAAGTCATGCAGATGCTTCAGAACGCCGCGAATCACGCAAAGAGGATCATCCAGACGGCAAAGAGTGAACGCGAAACGCTAAGGGACAGAGCGCGGGAAGAAGCCGAAGAAGAAATAAGAGCTCTTAGGTGAGTTTCCACATGGAGGTTTGCAGCTATTCCTCAGCTAGTTCTATCTTCTGTGAACGACAGTGGGTTTTTCAAGAAGGGCTTCCTAGTGCAGAATTTTCGCGCTAGTTCCTCTTTCATTTACAGGCAAGGCCTCATTCTAGTTTCTGCGCCTTGGGCGTATCGGTTAAATGCAGGCAGGCGCTCGAAGAAGAAAGCTTGCGAGCTGAGGAGAGCATCAATGGCGCAGATCTCATCCGCTTGGCAACCAAGGACGAAGATGAACGAATGCGCCAACTGGTAGAGTGCTCTGCGGAAAGGATGGCAGGCGCTGTCACCCTATGCGTTGGTGCGTTCCTCCGAGGGGACTAGAACAGTCAGAAACGTCGAGCCGCTGCTGCGCGGTTTCTGGTTCCCAAATCGAATGCTGCGACACGCTGTGCATCGCACTACTCTCCGAACAGTATGATTTATTTCAAAAGCACTGCCTACATAGCTGTAATGTGGCAAGCCCGCGTAATTTGCTTTTGCCTACTCTTCACTAAGAATTGTCAGTTTCCTCTGCAGATCATGTTTTGAACGTGGATACAACGCTCGCTCCAGAACGCCGAGATGCGCTTCGCCATTTGTGCGTTCACGTTTTACACAGATCACCCACTGCATTCCCCCTTTATAATAGCTGCCATTGAAGTATGGAAGATGGATGCAGTTTGACTATGCTTATGCTTGTGCTCAGAAAGAAAAATCCTCCGAGTTTCCTTCGGAAAAGCCAAGCTGGAAAGTATCCGTCAATGCGACGGGAACTCGCAGTGCGCGCGCTCAAGAACAGACGAAATCTGTCTTATTCAGATCATTTTTGGGACTCTGATGCGCTGGATTACCCACAACAGGATGGCTGCACACTCGAACAGGAACAAGCGTATGCTGCAATCTTGGGCGACCGAACGTTTAAGGAGGAGGACGAGATAAAGATAGATTTTGATGAATTAGAAAGGCCTTCTCCAGTTGAACGGTTTTCTTTGGCGGTGCAAAGCATTGGGACCAGATGTGGTTGCCTCCTCGGGTAATTACGTACATTTTGCGCGACTCAAAGTTTGTGTCCGTCATTCAAAGTGTCACGCAGCGCAAAACTGTCTGACTGACGCGTTACGGATATCAACTAACTGGTGTGTGTTACTGGTGAATCGGCGCTCCTTAAGCCTCTGAAGTTTGCCTCAAAATGGACGTTGGTTCCCGTGACACTTGATAGCCTTGGGATACGAGCTTCAAACGGGAAGGATGAAGCTGCGTTTAACAACCGGTGGTCAAACTCACTGTACAGTCGGTTGCGTTCAAGAAAACACGTGGGTGTCTTTCAGCTTAGCAGGTAGTACTCCTGTGGAGCCTCTTGCCAATTTCCAAAGGAGGTGTTGTCCATTCAGAATGAGGCAACAGTTTTGTCGTGACAGCGATGTCCGTGCCAGCTTCGCCCTTAGCGTCAAGTTTGCGGTGAAGACGGGCTTGCATAGGAAATGTTATGCAGTGGAGGGACTATGCTGCTCCTCCCACTTCCAAAATTTGGAGTTTGCACGTCGCTTCTCTCCATGGAGGCAGTCTAAGTTGCAGGGTCCAAGATATGCTCTATCACGTAGGTTTACTTCGAAGTAAACCGCAACAAAATTTCAAAACGCAACGTCAGATTCACTTGAAACATCCTTGCTCTCCTGAGACGCTTTGGGAGCACTTATTTATTTCTTTACGAACTGCGGTGCAAACACCGTAGCACGGCAGACGAATTTGCGCCAGATCCTGTTTGCGGCGCATTTTTTTAGCTGTTTTTGTTGGCTTTTTATCTGCAACGTAATCCTGATTCGGGCAAGCGCTTTTGAATTCTGAGGGTCGAAGCGTGCAGGTTCATCTGTAACGTTGGCTGCAGCAGTCAGTGCCCAAGCAATTTACTGCTTGCAAGTAGCTTACTTTGCTAGTTACCTATTCCTGTGGTGTATCATGGTCTGCTAAGAATACGCACCACAACACGCACCCTGCAGAGCCTCGTGTAGGCGTTTATGGCACTGAGAATTGAATCAGGAACAGTAATTTGAAGGCTTAGAGGAAAACTAGAAGTAACATTATGTAAAAACTCAACTTTTCCGTCGTTGAAATGGCGGTTGTCTCAAACAAAAAATTCGCATTCCTGCGGAAACGTGCTACTGAAAAGCGCGTCTTCTAATCCTGGTGTACTGACAGCTCATGCTGACAGTATGCCACCTGCTCTGCGCCATGCCACAATTGGTTATGCTAAGCGCGACTTCTTCCTTCACTTTTTGCATGGTTCCTACATTGCGCGCTATTGCTTGGATATAGTATCGGCGCCTCTATACACAAAACTTCCGACAATGAGGGATCCATCTGGAGCGAAGGCGAAGGTCGAAACCTTCAGATGTAAGCCTTGTTTACATTTGTATCAACTTTAGAAACAAACTTGTAATCTTCCATTTTCAGATGCGGTAAGGCCGGTGTAGACGACCAGAAAAGGCACTCGTTCACGCGGAGGATGCTTGCTGGTTCCATCCTTGGAGTACTGAGACTCATCCGAAATTCCTTGTTCCTTCCAGGCGACAATTCTGACGGCCGTATCGGGCGCGACAGCCCTCGGTTTCGCCGCAATCGTCGCTACAAATTTCATGCGACCATGTGACGTTCCACTAAGTAGGTTCAAAAAACACCTGCAATGCACGAACATGCGTGAATCCGTTCAATTCAGACCTGTGGCTTGTTGGTGCCATCCTCCTCGTAAGGCTTTCAAGTCTCAACAGCATGGAGCAACAGTAAACAGGGTTTGTCCAGAGCTTACCGGCTACCTATGCTGCCGACAGGATGAAGAAACAACACGGCTTCCCAGCAGTTGTAAGGCGATTAAGCAATGAAAGTTCCTCTATCAGAGCCAATCCTCTTTCCCTTAGCTGTGGTTTGAAATATCTCTTTTGGCCGTCGCCTTCATCTGGATGACTGCCGGAACCGTCATGGTGCGTTCTATTCCAAATCTCGGGAGCACTTCCTTCACTTATGAACCGGATTACAGATTAACATGTCTACCACGTGCGAAGTGACCGCTCCTGTACCGTGGTGGGCCACGTTCATAACGGTAAGCGACAAGAGTGGCTTGTACAAGTTGAACAAGAATTAATGTGGAGTCGTCGCAGGTTTCACTGTTTTGGTGTGGTTCAATTGGAGGCATCTTCTTCCTCCTGTCGATCGTTCTCATCCCCATGTTCCTGGCTGGGGGAAGAACACCCCAGATCTTGTAACCGACAAACTGAACTGTTTGTTGGGGCTTGCGCAAGGCCTACTGCTGCTTTCGCTTTCATGCCTGCCGCAACATCTACTTCGATGTGTTGTTGTGCATCGTGTTGCCAGTTGACTCGGCTACTGCCCACGTCTGCTGTGACGGCAAAAGACTCCGATGACTTTCTTTCACAGTGCACTGGTGTACTTGTGCATGTGTTAATAGCGCGGAGTTTTGCGGAAGACAGGTGGCGCGGCACTATGCGCGTGCACTGTAATTCTTAGATTCGATAGCGAAATTTCCCTCCGGTATAACGAAGTCCACAAGCTGTCCTGCAAGACACATGATGCATTCTTAATAGACAGATATAACAGCTCATTCCATTAGTCAAAGGCAGATCACCCTCTGATCACCCTCTGATACCTAGAGGAACATACCGTTGTGATAAACACATCGACGAGGCGAAAATAGGAGCAGCGCTTTTGAGTCGTATATTACAGCACCTCTACACTTGCGAACAGCTGCTTCTGCAGCTTCGAATGAGGCAAAGCGGAGAACGAACATTCCATCGTTGTTCAGAACTAAGCGATTCATTAGGAGCCTGCATCGCAACAGCAAATGTATTGGTCATTTCAAAAGGCGGTCGAAAATTCTTGGATCTTCAATGTCAGTTGAAAGTACTTGATACAATACATGATTTGCTGGCTTTCGCCATGTGGCGGCCGAGATCTGAACTGCTATCTAACATCTGAATGCTCCGTTATTCAAGCGCAAAACGCACTTTTTCACCACATGTCTACCAAGATCAAAGTTATTTTTGGAGTAGTCAGAAGTCTTGCGGATTTCATTTTTATTCTCAACCTGAAGAGTCGGAAATACGCACGATACCGCAGCAGCATATACGCCACGCGCACGACTTCCTTCACTTTCCTTTCTGCCGATGTCACTCACTTCAATGGGTGATCGATGAACGGGGATGAAGATATTTTCGTCTAGCGTTGCAGATATGGCAGCATGCGAACCGTTCTGTTGTATGCTGGCCGTACAGCTTCCCAGTGCTGCCAATGGAGCATGCTGGCGTGTTTCTGTAGAGTGAGCGAGGTCTACTTCCGCAGTGTTATCACCTGCGATTCTCTGCATATTGACAAATAAATTTGGTTGGCTGTTTCCCACTGGATATTGGCTTATCTTTGGTTTGGTCTTTCTCTGGTCATGGAGCACCGAGCCGCTTGCAAGAACGATGCCATCGACGTCCCCGTCAGGTCCTTTCTTGTGGGGAGGCAGCACAAAGAAAGGTTCCGCCGTGTCGGAGCGCGCCTCGACAAACACGTGCTCATATCCGAATAGGCGGGGATTTGTCATTCGGAGGCGGCAACCTCCGGGATACGGACAAGCAGTGTCCGCTTCATAAACTAATGCGAATGCTAATATACGTGCAATTTCTGAGGCAGCAAAGGCAACGCAGATATTTCCTTGAATTTGCTTTAATCCATTCTGTTACTCTTTAGGTAGTTGAGAGCCAGAGAGCCTTGCACAGTGCCCTATTCAGATGCGTCCATACCATCGGCAGTCAAAACAAAAGGTAAATTTGTGGCTATTAGCGTAGTCTTCACTGCAGCATCCTCGGGATATACAAGACGGTCGATGCAAGGGACCCCGAATGTGCGAAGGTATGTGGAGCAGGCTTTTTGCTTCTCTTCAACGCAGCTGAATTCTGCAAAGAAAATACGGCGTAGCAAAACATTATAATAAACTTTGGCCTTGGATATGATATTCAACGCGCGTGCGATGGCTGGATGTCGCCTCACCAGCTAGGGCGAAAATCGGAGAGAATCGCTTTTCTAATTTGTCGCTAATGGCTTTTTCTCCCTTGGCTTGCATCGTATTCTGATCAAACACGATCCGCAAGGCAACCAATCTTTATTCTTTCTGTCCTCTTAGTCGCACAAAGGCTAGGCAATGGGCGTTCAACTTACATCTTCTGTTTGGTCGAGAGTTCGCAATCTGTCGTCAAATATTTCCACCCTTTTAATCTTTCCACAGCCAGAAAAAGCCTACAGTACAAGCATCACACGAAACAGCAAGCACGTAGTTTGTCTTCAGCGAGAAACGCGAGCGGCTGCAAAAGCAAAGGGCAGCGGGAGAGATGTCGCCGCACTTTGCAAAGACAATCCGTAAGAACGTCTCGAGGAGCATGAGGAAGGTTGGAGAGGAAGACGAGGTTCTTTGATCTGCTGCCAGCTTCTGGAATTGAGGGGTCTTTCCAGTCCACCACAAACTCCCCAATGCGTTTCTGCAAATGCACCCGGAAGGCGAATCAGCTAGTTTACGAGCACGCACTGTCAGCCAATGCACAGATTTCCGCAGTCTCAAATCCCCGTTTCTTTCCACTTTGAGGACGCAGCGCCATATATAAGCCTTTAATTTGCTTGCCTCAGTCAAGCGCGTGGGGGTGGGGGGCCTCGTGGCAACTTCTCGAGTGTGCACGTGGGGCTCATTTTCTGAAGGGTCTGTGCAGCTCGAGCCGCTGATAAGCCATTCGCCGGCACCGCTGGCCGGCGTTCGAGGAGACTGATGAGCTGTTCGTTGAAAACTGAGAAGTTCCGCGCCAACTGTGTAGTCGCCCATTATTGACTGTGGGATTCCATCGCCGACTTCGTCTTGCTGCTCACCACAGGACACGAGGAGCAGCAGCAAACTGCGGCGCATTCATGCCTCGGGCCCTCCAAAGTGCTCCCTAGAGGTCCCTAATTAGCCTGGAAATGACTGACACGGAGTGCACGAGGCGCTGCTGGCGCCGCCCCCCAACTTGCACAGTGCGGCGTTGCTGGGAGTGACGTACTGTGTAGATGCGCTCCGCCGAAGCCTTCGAGAGGCGGAGGAAGTGGTGAGGATCTACGAGGTCGAGGCTTTCTGACAGAAGTTTAGTGAGCTCCGCTTGATGTTCTTCTGCAGCAAAACGCAAAGCATGAAGCCGCAACGCGAGCAGCCCACTGCTGATTGCTTGTTTCCGTTTGCAGCAGCAGCCGCAACGCCGCGAATAGGCTGTTTGCAGCGCTGGAAGTGGAATAAACTGAGGAAAAGCGTTTAAAATTCGGAGCAGCGCACTTACTAGGAACGATCTTTCCAATATCTCGTATCACTGCGAGCTTGTTGTGAGCCCTTGGCGCTTTCTTCAGCGCTTTGTACGCCTTGAGGCGGACGGCCACGCGCTCGAGCTGCCGATCTGTGAGCCAGTCGGAGCACTTTCGAACAAATTTTGAATAGCTGAAGCCGCAGTTCGAAGGCGCGGCCTCTGGCTGCGAGCATTCGCCAGTTTGGGTGCGCAGGCCCTTCACCTGCGGCATCCGCAGGCGCTGCCGTGCTTTTCCTCCCCTATTTGCGAATCCATTGGCAAATTCACGCGACGTTAGAGCCGTAGACAGGCCCCTCTGATCCGCTAGATGCGGCCATATCTGTGTGGCGGATATAACAGCATCCCTCTCTACTTCTGAATTCCCAGTAATCATGCGATGGGGACAGGTCCGTGGCTTCCATTGCCTGTCTTCTCCACGCAAGTGGCAAGCAAAGGATTTTAAGAGGCCAAAATGGTCAAATTTGTTGGGCAAAACCACGTGAAGACCGTTTACTCGGCCTAGGCGAGGCCACCTGGCCACGAATGTCATCGGATCGCCGATGGCAGGTCTACAGACGGAATTCTGCGATATCTCCCCGTATGAAAATGAAATACGCGCTTCAAATGTCTAAGTAAACACTTAATACACCAAATTAAGCGCAGATTGTTGGAGTTTAGCCTCTGATCACCATCTACGTCCTCGAACCTGCCGATGTTTTCCGAGGGGCCCCTAATGGGGCTCTTCACAAGCAGTCGCAGATAGCGCAAAAGATAAACAATTCATAAAGATAAATACAATTGTGTTCTATGATATACTTAAAATTCCTTGAGGCACGGATCCCTAAGGATTTGCTGCCGAAACTTGCAATACCAAAGATGAAGGGGAAACGCCAAAGGCTCGAAAGAAACTTAGGCCTTCGGTGAAAATGTTCAATTGGAATCATTCTAAATTTAAGTTTGGGAGAGTCTCGCAAAATAATCTTTCAATGTGTTGCTTCCACAGGCTTGAGGACGAATGCTTTCAACGGGCTCTGCAGCGACCATGCACGAAAGTATGGATCGTGGTGTCTTTGAGCCCGTGGGTGCTTTGTGCATAACACATATATAAAATATGCAAATATACACACACAGCTGATATATAACGCGAATAAATAGAGATGACTGCAGCAGCGTGAGATTCGCTGATTTGCACTGCACAGTGTGCAGTGCAAATGTGGCATCTTCTGTGGACGCTTCAAGACAAGAATGTGCATCGGTGACAGAAGAATTTGGATTGGATTTGCGAGATTTACAACCATGCAGCTCATATTCATAGTCACGCAGTTGATTTCCGCAGATAAATATGCATTTCTTTCCGTTCCAAGAAACCCAAACGCGCTGGAGTTGAAGCAGCTGACACGGCCACTTATACACAAACATCTATACAGCTTAATCGTGCATTTTGGCATTTCATAAAGATATAAATTAGCTCATAAAGATATAAATTAGCTACTTGTGTCTGCATGTTTAGGAATGTGTCAGGCTAGCGAGAAGCTCGTCGCATTCAAATTCAAATTGCTGCGCAGCTCCTGCGTCTGCTCTGCGAGTGAACAAAAGGAAGCCAACATGAAAATAGACGAATCACTTGTTCTTCTGCCGCATTTTAATCTTATTTGTTCATTATTGAGTTCTTAGCGCCAGCTTTGTTTCCAAACCGCCTTCAAACTTCATAAAGAAGCAGCGCTTCATCCAGAAGGCTCAGCAGAAAGCCAATTCAGGCCTCAAGTTTAGCTGCAAAAGTAGCTTATGTCAAGAAAAAGAGAAATGACACTTCATGTTGTTTTCTCTAAAGTCCCTGCGCTGAATTCGATTTAGTTTGTTTCGGATTGAACTGATATATTTGGCCTGCAGAGGCTTCGCTGCGCCACTCCATCTGCTTAAGTCAACTCTATTTATTAATTTGCCACTTCGTATGCTCAACTCAACTCTATTTATTAATTTATAAGTTCATCAGACGGCCAATACTTCATCTGCCTTTTTGTTTAACTTTTTAGCGCACATATTGGCGGCCTGCAGATGCAGACGCAGCACAAACTGAATTTCTCTCTTTCTGTGCAGCCAATTCAAATACCAACTGCAGCAAATAACTGTGTAGGCAAATGCATGCATATTCATCTTTATATTATTCAAATTCCTTTGCTGGAACTAATTGCGTTTTCATCTCCACAGTAATTTCTACGCAAGTCTGCTCACACATGTTGTGGGAAACGCTGAAAACTGCCGCAAATTGGAACTAGGAAGGAAGTTCAAGCATTTTCAAGTCAGCATAAAGAGCCCGGCTGGCTGTTTGTTCGCTTCTATTCGCCCTTTTACTGCATTTGTTTTCATTTTTCACAAGAAAAAAAGACCTTTTTATGCCAAAGTTGCTTTGCGTGGCTGCTAGACAGTTTCAGTGGAGCTTTCATGTAATGCCTCTTCTTGTTTCGTTCTGCATCTGCACTTCACTTCCTGCGACTTGAAAATGCCCCTTAGAAGAATCCAGCGGAGATCTTTTGCCTGAATTCTCACAAAACTTCAAATAAACTTTAAAAGTTATTTTTAAGTCCTGAGTTTGGAGTTCAGTGCTCAGATTTAGGAGTTTCAGGGCCGGTCTGGTCCCTCCCGACCTCTGGCACTCGGGGATTCCGGGGATTCCCGCTGCTCCTCGAGCGACATAAAGCTGCAACTTTCGTTATTTATGCAAATTCAGCCAATTTAACTATTTTTTAGTATTATTTCGCGTTTTTTACAGACATTTGGCCTTGTTTTCAAGATCGCGCGCAGTGACGCGTTGATCGGGGCCTTGGCCGCATTGCCTTTGCCAGTGTGCGTGTGGCGGCGAAAACGGGTCCGGAAGATGAGAAAGCGGGTTTGACGGGCCTCTTGGCCAGCTTATTGAAAGTAGAAAAGGTTAAATTATTCAAATTAAGAGGAAATAAACTGAATTTGGCTTCTGTTTGCGCAGGTTTCTGCGGTTCGCTGCAGCCGGATCCTCCCGCGGTCGATCCTCTCTAGGGGTTGCCGGCGGCCGCTTTGCCTTGCGAAACGCCTCACAGAGCTCCCTTGAGCTGTTTTTGAATTGAAATTGATTTTTTCTGTTTGATTTCCTTGGAAATGGGCCAGGCGAGCTCTTCCGCCTCCAGCGGCCGCGCTGCTGCGCCCACACTGCAGCAGCAGCAGCAGCAGCAGCGCAGCGCGGGCGCTGCGCCTTCGCGCTCTCTGTCGCAGCAGATGGTGAGCGCCTACCGCCGGAGTGGCCAGCAGCCTTTGCGGGAGGCCTTCGTGACTTGTTCCTCCCCCTCCCTCCCCCACGCCTCCGCCCCCCCCCCAGCAGCAGCAGCAGCAGCAGCAGCAGCAGCAGCAGCAGCAGCAGCGGGCGTGCCGGGGGGCTACTACCGCGGGGGCTGCAGCTCGCTGCCGGCCTCCTCGCGGGGCTCCTCGCCTGCTGCTTCGCGGGCGAGTTCGGAGTCTTCGCTGCTGCTGCCAACTCCGACTCCGTCTCGGCAGCAGTCCTTCACCTTCGTGCCTCCCGCCTGGCGGGACCCTTCCTTTGTGTCTTGGACTCCGCAGCAGCAGCAGCAGCAGCAGCTGCTGCTGCAGCGCTCCGCCTCCTCGCCGGCGCTGCCCCGCGCGGGGGACCTCTCCGCAGCAGCAGCAGCAGCAGCAGCAGCAGCAGCAGGGCGGGGGCCGCCCCGCTTCGTCGCGCGCCGCCCCGCCGCCGCCGCAGCAGCGCCGCCCTCACCGCAGCAGCAGCAGCAGCAGCAGCAGCAGCAGCAGGAGCTGCTGCTGCAGCAGCAGCAGGAGGAGCTGCTGCTGCAGCGGGAGCCGTGCGTGGTGGGCTGGGGCGAAGTGGAGGAGACGAAGGAAGTGGTGTACCCGAGCGGGCAGCGGGTGTTCAGGTGTACGTACTGCAACGCGTTGCTGCGGAGGCGGAAAAACTTCATTTCGAGTTGGCCAAAAGTTTTGTTTTGCGAAAACTGCCGGCTGCTGCCGCAGTGCAACTCCTGCAGCAAAAAGGCAGTGCCCTTCGTCTTCAGCAGCAGCAGCGGCAGCAGCAGCAGGGCGGAGCCGCTCCGCAACTTCGGGGGCCTCTCCACCTGCGGCCAGTGCAGTTTGCTGCGGCCCGTGGCCGACGCTGCTGCGCTGCAGCCGCTCGTCAGCAGCAGCAGGCAGCTGCTGCGCGACTGCTTCGCTGTGCGCTTTACGCAGCAGCTGCTGCAGTCCCACGCGCGCCCGGAGGTGCTTTGCTGCCTCGCTGCGCTGCGCCGCGCAGCAGCAGCGGACGACAGCAGCAGCAGCAGCAGCTGCACGCTCCTCCTCGACCTCCCGCCCGCCGCGGACGCGCAGCAGCAGCAGCAGCAGCAGCAGCAGCTGCTGCTGCAGGAGGACTGCCACGGCGACGTGCAGAGCCTCCCCTTCGAGATCACTCCCGTCTGGCACATGCAGCTGTCCCGCGGCGGCAGCCAGAACGTCTACGGCCGCTGCGAGGCGCGGGCGCTCACCTTCCCCGCAGAGCCCCCCGCAGCAGCAGCAGCAGCAGCAGCAGCAGCAGCAGCAGCAGCAGCGCCGCGGACGTTCCGCGTGGTGCAGCGGATCCTGCTGTCCCGCGGAGTCCCCGAGGGCCTCTTCTGCGGCCATTTGGCCCACGAGCTGCTGCACGCCTTCATTTGGCTGTCGCTGGAGGCCGGGGGCCCGCAGATCGCGCTGGCCGCTGAGGAGGGGCTCTGCAACTGCGTGCTCGCGACGGCGCTGCAGATCCGCGTGGAATCGCTGCAGCAAAAGCGCCAACAACTCCTCAAATGCTTCGCAAAATGCGGAATTATTCCGAAAACAAAACCCTCGACCCGCGAAATCGAAGGTTTGCCGCAAACTGCGGAGTTTCTGCAGGCCGTTTGCAACTTGCACGGCTGCGCGCGCGCGCGCGCGGGGTGTACGTACACCCCGCCGCCGCGCGCGCGCAGCCGCTGCCAACTGGAATTCGAACTTTATTTGACAGAATATGAATTGAAAGTTCTCAACCGCAGACTTTCCGAAATGGAAAAAGACGAAGACCCCAACTACGGCGTCGGCTACCGCGCCGCCAGGGCCCTCGCCATGAAGCGCCGCATGCCCCAGCTCGTCCGCCTCCTCGGCACTGCCGGCCACTCGCTGGACTCCTTCGTCGCCGCCGCCCAACTCTGCTGCTAGTCCGCAGCAGCAGCAGCAGCAGCAGCAGCAGCAGCAGCAGCGGCAGCAGCAGGCTGTGCGGCGGGCGCGGACGCCCAGCGGCGGGAACTGCAGCGGGAGCGGCTCAAACGGGTACCCAGCAGCTGCAGCGCAGCAGCAGCAAACACCAGCAGCGCAGCAACTTCGCGAGAGCAGCTGCAGCAGCAGCAACGGCCAAAGTGCAGCAGAGCTTTGGAGAAATTAAAAGAAATTTAATTCAACAACTCAGAAAGCTGCAGCAGCAGGCCCAATCAGCTTCAAACGCAACAGCAACAGGGGCAGCAGAACTCAACAACGGAGAAATACTTGTTTGCTTTTTTCCGCATCTCTTGCTGCTGCTCTTCGCCTCCTTTCAAAGACACCTGCTGCTGCTGCTGCTGCTGCTGCTGCTGCTGCTGCTGCTGCTGCCAGTTTGCAGCAGAGGATGAGTTGGCAAATTCGCCACACACACACGCACACAAAACCTAGGGACTCCACGGGTGCTGCTGCTGCTGCCGTTGCTGCTGTTTCTGCTGCTGCTGCTGCTGCTGCTGCTGCTGCTGCTGCTGCTGCTGCTGCTGCTGCTCCTGGACAAAGCGCTGTGGAGAGCATCTCAGCAGCAGCAGCAGCAGCAAGCAGCAAGTAGTGAATAGTAATTCATTATTAAGGGGAGGGAAAAACTAACAAGTGAGAAAACGCAGCAAAAACGCACTGCAGCAAAAAGCTGAAGGCAGCAGCAGCAAACCGAAACGAGAAGCAAACAAAGAGCAGCAAAAGCAAAAGGCCAAATAAATAAACAAAAGTCTTAAAAGTTCATTTGCAAGAAATGCCGGAGACGGCGATGAGCCGCAGCTGTTTGCTGCTGCCTTTCCTTTCTCTGCTCGCCGCTGCCTCTGCTGCTGCGCGGAAATCCAGTCCCACCCAGCAGCAGCAGCAGCAGCAGCAGCTGCAGCAGCTGCAGCAGCAGCAGCAGCAGCAGCAGCAGAGTCAGAAGTCCCAAGAAAAGGCGAAAAGGAAAAAAACAATTAAAGCGAAACCAACCAGCAGGCGGGCGGCGACGGACAAGCAGGTGTACAGACACCGCAGCGCGCAGCCCAGGGTGTCTGTCTGCTGCTTTTCTGCATTTCCATTAAGTGCTTCTTTCCCTCCTTCTTCATTCTTATTTACTTTGCTGCTGCTGCTGCTGCTGCTGCTGCTGCTGCTGCTGCTCCGCAGCACGGAAAGGGCCCCGTAGCTGTGCAGCGGGGAAAGCGCCGCAGGCAGCGGCGCGAAAACGTCGCCCCACATGTCTTCACTGCTGCTGCTGCTGCTGCTGCTGCTGCTGCTGCTGGAGAAGTTCTTAACTTTGTCTTCTTTGTTTTCTTTGTCTGAGCTGGCGCTTTTAGTTGATTCAGCTTCGCCGCTGCAGCTGCTGCAGCTGCTGCAGCTGCTGCAGCTGCTGCAGCTGCTGCAGCACGACCAGTTCCCATGGTCGCCGCCGCCGCAGTTGCTGCAAGTATTCGTGCTGCAGATGTCGCCGTTTCTTCTGCTGCTGCAGCTGCTGCAGCTGCTGCTGCTGCTGTTTCTTTTGCGTCTTTGTTCGCAGCCGTTGGCTCGCATGAAATCCATTTGCAGCTCCTGAAGTGCTGCTGCGCTTTCTTGCTGCTCCTGGCTTTCTTGCCTCTGTCTGACTTGCACGTCTGCTGCTGCTGCTGCTGCTGCTGCTGTTGCTGCTGCTTCTGCTGGTTCGCGGGGCGACAGGAAGGCCGACTCGCCCAGGGCCTCGGCGCTGCCGCTGCTGCTGCTGCTGCTGCTGCTGCTGCCTTCTGCTGCTGCGGCCTCTGCTGCTGCTGCTGCTGCTGCGGCCTCTGGCCCCAACTTGGAGTTTCCATTAACTTCAAAAGTTGCATTTATGAAAAAGTCTTCGCCAGCTTTGTTGGCGTTTGCTGCTGCCGGCCGCGGCAGCTGTCTGTACACCTCGCCGCAGACGCCGCCCCAAAACTTCCCGCTCCCGCCCGCCCAGCCGCCCCCGCCCTCTGCTGCTGCTGCTGCTGCTGCTGCTGCTGCTGCTGCTGCTGCTGCTGCCGAGGTACCCCCTGGCCTGGAGCGCGCAGCAGCAAGCGATGAGGGCGACGTCGTCGGGCTCGAACATGTGGAGGGAAGCAGCAGCAGCAGCAGCAGCAGCAGCAAAGAAGGAGCAGGGGGCCCCTGCAGCAGTGAGGGCCCACAGCACGTCAGCCAGCGGGGCCCCCAGCGGCAGCTGCTGCAGTTTGCTGCTGAGTGCATGCAGCGCTTTGGAGTAGAGGGAGCAGCAGCAGCAAAAGGACAGCCCCAGAGCAGCAGCAGACCGCAGCCAGGCAGCAACGCCCACTGCCGAGCACTGGCCCAGACTGGCAGCAGTTGCGTACAGCAGCGGCACGCACAAAGAAGCAGCAGCAGCAGCAGCAGCAGCAGCAGCAGCAGCAGCGCCGCCAGCAGCCCCAGCAGCAGCCTCCGAGCACAGCGAAAGCAGCAGCAGAACCGACAAGTCCGCGTTGCAGCACCGCAGCCACTGCGGCAGCACAGACACTGCCGGCAGCAAACCAGCAGCGCCGCCCCCGCTGCTGCTGCTGCTGCTGCTGCTGCTGCTGCTGCTGCTGCAGGCGGGGCTGAGGTGGTACTTTTCTGCTGCTAAGTGCAGTGTACAGACATCGAAAGGCATGCACTCGTCCAGCCGCCCCGTCAGCTCCCCACAGAACCACCGCAGCAAAGAAGAGAAACTCAAGTGGCGGCGGGGGCGGGCCCCGCCGCCGTCTGCTGCTGCTGCTGCTGCTGCTGCTGCTGCTGCTGCAGCAGGAGCAGCAGCAGCAGAAAGGCCTTCGAGCGCGGACACCGCGAGGGCCAGGGAGCTGCAGCAGCCAACCGAGATCCAGCAAGGCGCTCCAAGGGCCTCGCCGTCCCCTTCCCCTGCTGCTGCTGCTGCTGCTGCTGCTGCTGCTGCTGCTGCTGCTGCTGCTGGGCGTTGTGCGCGGTAGGGGCAGAGGTGCACGCGGACTCTGTCAGTTTTGCTGCTGCTGGCGAGAAACAAAACGAGAGGATTATCGCCGACAGCGGAGCCCCACTTGTCCGCCTCCGCGGGAGCCTCGCAGCCTCCACCCGCTGCTGCTGCTGCTGCTGCTGCTGCTGCTGCTGCTGCTGCTGCTGCGGGCCTGCCTGTCTGGGCCGTCTTGAGGGCCTGTTGACTCAGCAAAAGGTTGAGCAGCTGCAGCACGAGGAAGTCCTTCACGCAGAGGCCCTCTTCTGCTGCAGGCCCGATCTCCTCGTGGGCCACGCAGCACCAAGGCACGCGAGCAGCAGCAGCAGCAGCAGCAGGAGCAGCAGCAGCAGCAGCAGCAGCAGCAGCGGGGGGCGCCGCCGGGAGCCCGTGGGCGTAGGAAGCCAGAGTCAACAAACAAGGAAGGACACTCGCGGGAGGAATGAAATGCCTGTCTGCAAAAATTTCTTTCAAAAAAGAAATGAAAGCTTCGACGCGGGGAGTGCGGCGAGCGCTGGCCTCTGAGGTGTACGTACACCTCAGCGCCCGCAGCGGGGAAGCAGCAGCAGCAGCGCTTTCCTCCGCGCCCTCCACTTCGCTGCTGCTGCTTGCTGCCGGCAGCCACTTTGCTGCTGCTGCTGCTGCTGCTGCTGCTGGCGGCGGCGGTTTGCTGCTGCAGTTCACTTTGCTGCTCCCCCTGCTGCTTCCCGCGCCGCCGGCTTGCTGCTGGCTCGCCGCAGCAGCAGCAGGGGGAGCCGCCCAGTTGTAAAGAGAAGAGAAGCTGCTGCTGCTGCTGCTGCTGCTGCTGCTGCTGCTGCTGCTGAGTTTTGAAATGCTGCTGCTCCCAAAGCCGCGGCTGCCCGCGGAAATGCCCAGTCCAGACTCTGGGCTGGGGTGTACGTACACCTCAGCGCTGCGCGCTTGCGGGCGCGGCAAGGCAGAAAAGCCATAGTGGGGACCATCTGCTGCAGTTCCTGCTGCTGCTGCTGCTGCTTCTGCTGCTGCTGCTTCTGCTGCTGCTGCTGCTGCTGCTGCACTTTGTTTGAAGCCAGTGCGGGGAGGGGAGCAGCTCAAGACAGACCGAGAGACACTGCCGTACCTCGCAGAGCTCGGGAAATAGGAGGGTGCTGCTGCTGCCGTTGCTGCTGCTGCTGCTGCTGCTGGTGCTGCTGCTGGTGCTGCTACTGCTGCCGGTGCTGCTGCTGCTGCTCGTAGAGTCGCGGCTGGCGCTGCCGCTACCGAAGAAACAAAAGGAGAAGCAGCTCTCCTGCCCCTGCAGGAGCTGCTGCTGCTGCTGCTGCTGCTGCTGCTGCTGCTGCTGCTGCTGGGAGCCGCAAGGCCGCAGGCGACAGGAGGGGGTTTGGTGGCGTCTGCGCTGAGGTGTCTGTACACCCCAGAGTAGGCGTCGACTCCCAAGTGACCACTGGTCACTTGGGAGTCCAAAGGCGAGAAGTTTGGAGAGAAGGAGCAGCTCAAACTCCCTGCTGCTGCTGCTGCTGCTGCTTCCCTGCTGCTGCTGCTGCTGCTCTGCAGTCGCGAGCTGGAAGCAGCTCGGGGCGCGGGGTGTCTGTACACCCCAAAGGCGCCCGCCCGGTGACCAGTGGTCAAGTTAGAGACGCTCGCAGCTGTAGAGACACTCGGCAGCGAGTCCAAGGCTGCAGGGCCCATGCTGCTGCTGCTGCTGCTGCTGCTGCTGCTGCTGCTGAGGTTCAGGCGCTTGCTGCCGAGGTGGGGGCGGGGCAGCGGCGCGTCTGCTGCTGCTGCTGCTGCTGCTGCTGCTGGCTGCTGCTGGCTGCGCAGGGGCTGCAGGGTGCAGCGGAGGGGCCCGGAAGGCGAGGGGGCCCTCAGAGAAGAACTGAGCAAATGCGAACCCCAAAGAGAACTCGAGGGGGCCCCCCCGAGGGGCCCCAGGGCCTCGAGGGGCCCCCCGGGGGCCCCCGAGGGGGCCCCCGGGGGGGCCCCCAGGGGGGCCCCCAGGGGGGCCCCCAGGGGGGCCCCAAGGGGGGCCCCCAGGGGGCCCCCCAGGGGGGCCCCCGGCTTGGGGGGGGCCCCCAAGTGAGTAAGGGAAGGGCCGCAGTTTGGAGCCAAGGGGGGGCGCAGCGCCGCAGGCCCGGAAGAAAGCAAAGAAGTATTTCTGGCGGGAGTTGTGAGGGGCTGTTGGGGGGCGAGGGCGGGAGCTGTCGATACACCTGGGGAGCCGCAGGCGCGCGGCAGCAGCCCCTGGCGGGAGTGGAGGCCGTAGAGAGGGTCCATAATTGATTTAAATGGTTGAAAAGGATTAATTTGATTAATTTGACGCAAAAAAGTCGAAAAAACAACAACTGAGCCGCCCCAAAGGCCGCAACTGCAGCAGCAGCGCAGCTGCTGCCAGCCACCGCCGCCGCACGCGCAAAGACAAACCCGCGGGGACTCCCCAGAGCTCTGCAGCTCCGCAGCTCCCGAAAAACAAAAAACAAAAAAGAAAATTAATTCATTTCGGGCTTTGGAGCAGCAGCAGCAGCAGCAGCAGCAGCAGCAGCGCGGGTGGTGCCGGGTGGTGATAGGGTGTATGTGTGTGGCGGGGCTGGTGAGCGGCGAAGACAAAAGAGCTGCGGGTTAAATGGCCTTCTGTGCCTTCAGAAATTCCAAATTGAGTAAAAGATTTAAATTAAAAACATAAATATTATTTTATTCGGAATATTTGCGGCGCAATGCAGTTTGGCGCCGCCGCTGCCGACCGGCCGCAGCCAAAAGTTGAACTGCATGCCAGTCAAACACAGCCCCGCGCCGCTCGCGTTCTGCCGTTTTAATTGCATTTCCTTCGAAAAAATGAAAAGAAAATGCGAGTTGAGTTATTTAGTTGAATTAATTTCGTTCAAATCTTTGAAGGGGCTTCTGGCGAGGCTGCAACTCCGGCTTTCGCCTCGCCGGGCGGCGGCGCATGCGCGCTGCAGTTTCTCCGCTTTTCGAGCTTGCGGCTCTCCTTAGCTGTCCCACTGCATGCAAAGGCATTATTGAAGTGTTTTTAAATTCTTTTTTCTTTTTTGTTTTCTCTTTTGAGCCCCCGACCTCGCCAGCAGCTGCGCCGCGACCCCAGGTGTATGTACACCTCAGCTCCGCAGGGGCGACGGCGCCCCGCCCGCTCCGCCACTTCCTTTCACTTTAATAAATCCTTCGCGGCTTTCTTTTAAAGACTTCGCGGCTTCCTTCCAAAGACTTCGGGACTTTCTTTTAAAGACTTCAGGACTTTCTTTGCTTTGTGGACTCGCCGTGGGGCCTCAGCTGGCCGTAGAGAGCCAAAGAAAGGAAATAAACAACTAAATAAATAAATAAATAAATAAATAAATAAATAAATATTTTAATAAACAAACAAACAAATAAATAAATAAATAAAGAAGATGTCAAAACAGTCTTCGGCGGTCAACAGGCCAGATGCCGCAGACCTCCTCGAGCTGCCCCCCGGCGTTCACAAGTGCGTCTGTCTGCTGCTGCATTTTAGGGTTTAGGGTTTAGGGTTTAGGGTTTAGGGTTGAGGGTTTAGTCTGCTGCTGCCCCAGCTTGGGCCAGTTCCCTCTTCAAATAGATCCAGGGGGCTTTAGCGAGTCTTAGTTAGCTGCGTCAGCAGCTAACTCCTAGCTGCGCCAACCAGCAGCAGCAGCAGTAGCAGCAGCAGCAGGAGCAGCAGCAGCAGCAGCAGCAGCAGCAGCAGCAGCAGTGCTAGTTGGTGCACTGATTGTCTTAATGCATCCACTCTTATCGCGCGCCTCTTTTGGCCTTTTTTGTTCTTTTGGCTTTTTTGTCTTTTTCGTTTTTTTCCTTTTTTGTTTTTATTTTCTTTCCTCCTTTTGCGGCTGCTGCTAAAGCGCAGCTGCAGCAGCAAAGGATAACCGCCGGCGCTGCTGCTGCTGCTGCTGCTGCTGCTGCTGCTGCTGCAGAGTCGAGTGGGCCCCAGACCTTCGCTTTCCTCTCTGCGGCACCTTCACCCTTTACCTCGAGGACTACACAGTCGGCTACCTCCTCAGAAAGTGAGCAGGGTTTAGGGTTTAGGGTTTAGGGTTTAGGGTTTAGGGCCTAGGGTTTAGGGTTTAGGGTTTGGGGTTCGGAGTTTAGGGTTTATAAGAGCGTTGCGTTTGGGCTTCACTGGGGCCTGAACAGTAGGGTTTAGGGTTTGTTCTCCAGGGCTTAGCTGCTGCCGCTTCTGCTGCTTCTGCTGCTGCTGCTGCTGCTTCTGCTGCTGCCGCTGCTGCTGCTGCTGCTGCTGCTGCTGCTTCTGCTGCTGCTGCTGCTGCTGCTGCTGCAGTGACTTGCTGCGGGACAAGAGGGTGAAGTTTGTGGGGCTGCGGCAGCCGCACCCGCTGACGGCTTCGATTGAACTCCGCATCCAAGCGGTGGATGTGGGGCTTTTTAATTGAATTAAATTAAATAAATTAAATTAAATTACTTTAATTAATTTAATTAAATTAATTTAATTAAATTAATTTAATTAAATTAATTAAATTAAATAGATTGATTTAATTTAATTATATTTATATTTATATTTATATTTATATTTATATTTGTAATTATATTTAGATTTGTAGTTGTATTTAGATTTGCATGCGTGGGGAGCCCATGGGTGTGTTTGCCTGCTGGAGAAAATTATTTTTATTTTATTTTATTTTTTGTTTTTTAAAATTGTTTATTCTCTTTTATTCTTTTCATTCTCCTTTTTGTTTTTTAAAGTTGTTTATTCTCTTTTGTTCTTTTTATTTTCTTTTTTGTTTTTTAAAGTTGTTTATTCTCTTTTATTCTTTTTAGTTTCTTTTTTGTTTTTGAAAGTTGTTTATTCTCTTTTATTCTTTGTTTCAATTTTTAAACACTCAGAACTGTTTCAAGTTTTTAAATATTTAAAGTTGTTTCAACTTTTCAAGTATTTAAAACTATTACAGCCTTTCAAATGCTTAAAATTATTTCATGCTTTGTTCACTCATTTATTTATTTATTTATTTATTCGTTATTTATTTATTTATTTATTTATTTATTATTTATTTATTTATTTATTTATTTATTTATTTATTTTCATGTTTTGTTTGTATATTTGCACTCATATTGTAACTTGCACATACACTTGTGCAAATCCTCCGTCCGCAATTCCACGCGAGATTAACCAATTAATATTTATTTACGAATTCACTTCCACTTATTTATTTACCTTTATTTATATTTATCATTTATTTATTTATTTATTTATTTATTTATTTATTTATTTATTTATTTATTTATTTATTTGTTTATTATTATTTGTGGCCAGGTCTCCCCGCTGCAGCTGTTCCTGGAGACTGTGCGGCGCCAGCGAACTTCGTTGACTTTTCTGGGGGCGCTTTTTAAGGCCGCAGTGGACGCGTACAGCAGCAGCAGCATGAGCAGCAGCAGCAACATGAGCAGCAGCAACTTGAGCAGCAGCAACTTGAACAGCAACTTGGCGGCCAACTTGGCCGGCAGCTTGGGCGAAAACTTCAGCAGCAGCAGCAGCAGCAGCAGCAGCAACAACTTGAATGAAGGCCTCAGCGCCGCAGCCAGAGCTGCGGAGGAGGGGGCCCCCCTCGCCCTCGAGGGCGAGGGGGGCCCCCCTTTGTCCTTTTGAATATCCTCCATTGGTTTATTTTTAGTGGCTTTTATTTAATTAATTCCAATTCATTTAGCATTTAATTAATGCAATTCATTTAGCATTTATTAACTGCAATTCGTTTAGTTTATTAGCTTCAAACTTGGGCAGCAGCAGCCGATCTGGAGCCGCCGGGGCTGGCGGGTGGCCGCGGCTGCGGGCGCTGTCAGCGAAGGAAGTGTCAGAACAAATGGCGAAAACGAATTAAAAAGATATTATAATGAAATTGGAAATGAATTAAAGTGAAAAATAACATTAAGAGCGAACAAAGAAGAGAAGAAGACTGCTGTTCCGCGGTGTACAGCGCGTGGGCTGTGTCGCAGAGCGGAGGAGCAGTGGCGTGCTGCTGCAGGTCACGTGCGTGTGCCTGCCAGCGAGCTGGCCAAAGAGTGGCTTAATTGGAAAATTAAGAAAAGAATAAATGAAATAAATAATTAATTGCATTCAACTCGCGCGAATCCTTAAAGTTCGAGCTGCGTTGGGCGCGCCGGGCCAGCCAATGTGCCGCGACAGGAAAGCCAGTGGGCTCGTCGCTGATGTGTGCATGTGGCCTGCGGCTCTCCTGCGTTCTGCGTTTGTTTCTCAATATAATAATATAAAATTAACATAATAATATAAAATTAATAAATGAATTCACAATTGAAATTCATTGCGTTTTAATTCAACTTCAAAAAGGACTCCTCCCGCGTGGAGCGTTCGCCGCGGGTGTGCACTGTCGGCGTTCCGTCAGTCACTCGGCTGTCTGACCAGTTCCACCTTCTGCGAGTTTCCACCGCTGGTTTTTTGAACAGTTTGCGTCATTGAGTTCCATTTTTAGTTTTTTAAAGAATAGTTTTTGCAGCAACTCGTTTGCTTTGAATTTGGCCGCGGTTTCCCGCAGTTCCTGCTCCGCAGCTGCCGGTACACCTCACCATGGGCGAAAGCGTCGAAGCCTTCATGGAAGAGATCCTCACTCTGCCGCGCTGCCTCCACCGCTCTCTTTCGCTGCTGCGGGACTTAGACATAAAAAGCCTTCAATGCGGGGCCGAGGCGGAGAGAAGACGCGGCAGATACCTCGAGATCGCCCGCGCGAAGCTGCACGCGCTCCACAGCAGCAGCAGCAGCAGCAGCAGCAGCAGCAGCGACTGCCCTGCGGTGCCCGAGGGCTTTTACGAGGACCCCGAGCTGCAGGCCGAAGCAGCAGCAGCAGCAGTTAAGGGCCGCGAGGCCCACGCGCTGATGCACGAAAAGATTGTGGTGGTGGAGCAGCTGCTGAAGCTGATAAGAACAGAAGCAGCAGTTTTCAGAGCTTCTCTTTCCAAGTGCGTCAAAGACATCAAGTGCGAGTCTGCTGCTGCTGGCAGCAGGCCGGAGACTGTGCTTTCCTTTTCGGGCAAGCCCGAGGGCAGCAGCAGCAGCAGCAACAGCAAGAGAGGCAACTCCAGCGACGCAGCAGCAGCAGCGCCAGCAGCAGCAGCAGCAGCAGCGCAGCCAGTCCGCCTCGGCGCTCTCTCGCTGCTGCCGAATTACCCCCCCAAGTCTTACGGCTGCGGGCCAGTTAAAAACCCCCCTTCCGAGAAGCAGACCAGCAGCACAGCAGCAGCAGCAGCAGCAGCAGCAGCAGCAGCAGCAGCAGCAGGAACAGCTCTTGCTGCTCCAGCGCCCGCCGCCGCCTCCCTCCCTGCAACTTCGGCTGGGAGAGTCTTGCGGCCACCCAAAAAGAACTCGCTTCGCAGCAGCAGCAGCAGCAGCAGCAGCAGCAGCAGCAGCAGCAGCGCAGCAGCAGATGGTGCATGCCGCAGTGCAAAGCGGCAGAGACCCAGCCCCGGCGGCCTCCCAGTAAAAAAGAATCTGTCCAAAGAAGCAGCAGCAGCAGCAACAGTAGCAGCAGCAGCAGCAGCAGCAGCAGCAGCAGCAGACGCAGAGGAAGTAGAGCCCGGCGCTGCCGTGCTGCTCTCTTCTGCTGCTTTCCCTTTGCCGCAGCAGGACCTTTCTGCTGCTGCTCTAGCAAGGCGCGTTAGACACGCTGCTGCTGCTGATGCTGCTGCTGCTGCTGCAGCTCCTGCTGCTGCTGCTGCAGTGAAACAAGCAGATGTGCGAACCCCCGCAGCCCCCGAGCGCTTCGCACTGGACACCAGCAGCAGCAGCAGCAGCAGCAGCAGCAGCAGCAGCAGCAGCAGACCAGCTAGGACTGTAGTCAGTCGGTTTAGAAGGGTTAAAGAGCCTATTGCGGAGGACATTCCTGCTGCTGCAGCACCTGCTGCTGCAGCTGCTGCTGCATCTGAGGCTGTTGCTGCTGCATTGCCGACAGCCTTTCAAGCAATAAAGGAGGAGCCAGCAGCAGCAGCAGCAGCAGCAGCAGCTGGCGATGCTGCACACGTGGGCTCCTGCCTGCTGCCCCAGCGGCAGAAGCAGCCGCAGCAGCTGCTGCTGCTGCCGCAGCAGCAGCTGCAGCAGCAGCAGCTGCAGCAGCAGCAGCAGCAGCAGCAGCAGCTGTGCGCGCCCGTAAAGTCAAAGCGCTGCCGCGAAAAGGCAGCAAATAAAACCCCAGCAAAGCCGGCCAGCGGCTTTCCTCTTGAAGAATAATTTAAATAAGTTTGCAGCAAATAAATAAAACCAAATTTATCTTTTTAATATTTAATGAGAGAATGCAAAACAAACTCATCTGCTGCTCAGCAGCCACTTGCTGCTGCTGCTGCTGCTGGTGCTGCTGCTGCTGCTGCTGCTGCTGCTGCTGCTGCACATGTAGGCGCTTTGCTTCTCTGGGCTTTACATATATATACGTTATATATGTAATGTCTATATATGTGTGTATATATATATATCAATAGTATTATAGAATGTATTTAAAAGACAATGTAATATATAGAAGCTGAGACAAATATAATTAAAGTGATGTTGTAATTGAAGCGCCTTCTGAGGTGTACGTACACCCCAGCTTGTCAGGAGTCGTGGCTTTGTTTGCTTTCGTCATTCCATTTTCAGTTTATTCTGTCGGGAGATTAAAAGCGATCCAGCTGCCTCTGCTGCTGCTGCTGCTGCTGCTGCTGCTGCAGCGCTTCGCTGTGGCACTTGCTGCACCCTTCCGCGCTGCTGTTTCTGCTGCTGCTGCTGCTTCTTTCGCTGCAGCTGCGGTGCTGCTGCTGCTGCGCGCGCTGCTGCTGCTGCTGCTGCTGCGCTGAGCTGCAGCCTTTGTGCCACATACTGAAGGGAATACTTGGAAGCAATTTTATTCTGTTCAATTAATATTCCTAAATTAACATTCTTAGAAGTTCGTCTTCGCCTCTGGGCTTTACTAGCACACCCTGCGGTGCAAGACAGGGAGCATGCATGCATGCATGCATGCAGTCCTTTTCAAAAGGAGTTCTCTTTGGTTTTAATCAATTTGAAAACTTTAAATCATTTTAAGTGGTTGAAGTTGTTAAAAAATGCTTTATTTCGCTTCCATGCAGCGAAAGTGAACCAGTGGTTCGTCTGCAGCCCCGACCACCGCGGGCCGCCGACAGTGGCACTGACCAGTGGGCCCGTTGCGGCTTTCTCTCGCAAAAAAGTCTTTGAAAGAAAATAAAACAAATTTAAAAAATTAATTTGTCTTTTTTAAACTTTAAATTCATCTAAATCGCACTGCCCAGCCCCCTCTGCGGCCTGCAGCCTCTCACCCCGAAGCGCGGCGGGCAAGTGACCAGGGCAGTTCCGGCGGGGGAAGTCGAATTTGTCTGCAAATAACTCCAAAATTGAAAGTAAAATAGAAATGAATAATTAATAACTTCGAATATTTGAAAGAAGCTGCTAATCAGAGCTCCAGCGGGTCGCCGGGATGGCGGGGGCTTTCAGGTTTGGGCGGCGCCGCGCGGCTCTTCGGGTTTCGCGTTCTTCTTTGTTTTTCGTTCTTTCTGTTTCCTGTTTGCTTTCCAACTTTTATTTTTCGAATTCTTTTCGTTTGAATTCTTCTTCTGACTTCTCCCTCGCCGCCGGCGCTGCAGCTTCGCCCGGGGCTGCTGCGTACCCCCCCGGAGGTGTACATACACCCGAAGGCGCAGAAGCGCAGGACGCTGCAGACACCCCCGAAGCTGTAGAGACACCCGAACTTGAACTCGACCCAAATGAGGCAAAACCTGCCGGAATTGAAGACTCTGAAGGCTTTCCAGAGGCTGGGGAAGGCTATGGACAGCGAGAGGGAGAAACAATCGAAGAAGAACTCCAAAAAATGACAAAGTTTGCAAACAAAGATGAAACAAAAATCAAATTCGAGGAAAAGACCGCCGGACATGTGCAGGCAGTCTCGGGGACCATGAGGGGAAGGAGACCCACAGACGAAGACGTAGGGATTAATTAATTAACTAATTAATTAATTAATTAATTAATTAATTAATTAATTAATCAATTAATTGAAGGTGACACGAGACAAGTCTCGCAGCACCCAGTGCCACAGCTAGGGAGCGGCAAGTGCTCATGTTTGCGTTTTTGAATTACAAAAAGGATTTTAAATTGATTTAAAGTACTTTTAAATACTTTTAAATACTTTTAAATGTTTTTTAAACAATAAAGCCCAACGCAGCAGGCAGATCTGCTTCAAAATGGATTAAAAGTACTTTCTAAACATCAAAATTTGGGCCAAGTGGAATGAAATTCAGGAAATAACAACTCTTGAACAACTCAACAGCAACACTTACTTCATGGGACTCTTCGACGGCCACGGCGGATCTCAAACTGCCAAATATTTAAAGCAAAATGCCCACAAGGAATTCGGTGAGGCACCACCCACCGCTGCTGCTGCTGCTGCTGCTGCTGCTGCTGTTGCTGCTGCCGTTGCTGCTGCCGTTGCTGCTGCTGCTGCTGCTGCTGCTGTTGCTGCTGCCGTTGCTGCTGCCGTTGCTGCTGCTGTTGCTGCTGCTGTTGCTGCTGCTGTTGCTGCTGCCGTTGCTGCTGCTGTTGCTGCTGCTGTTGCTGCTGCGTTGCTGCTGGTGTTGCTGCTGGTGTTGCTGCTGCTGTTGCTGCTGCGTTGCTGCTGCTGTTGCTGCTGCTGTTGCTGCTGCCGTTGCTGCTAAGAGGCAAAAGGCCTTTTTTGCCCCCCTGTGGCATTTCCTCCCAGCCACCAACCAAAGCCCAGAAGCAAAGTGTTTGGTGTCTGCGTTGCTGCACATTTGAAAATCTTGTTTTCTTTTTTGCTGCTGCATTCTCGTCTTTGAAGTCCACTTCATTGTTGCTTCTTAGCTGCTCAAGTCCCTGCTGCTGCACTGCGTCGGCCCCTTCTGTTTTGCTCTATTTTTGCCTGTCTTTATTCCCGTTCGCAATTTCACGCTATCTTTTAAGTTGCAGCAACAGTAACAGCAGCAGCAGCAGCAGCAGCAGCAGCAGCAGCAGCAGCGACGCAAGTAGCAGGAGTAGCAGTGCTCTGTGCCCATCGTCGACATGCCACTGCTGCTTCTGCCACTGTTGCTGCTGCTGCTGCTGCATTTTTGTTGCTATTTCTGCTGCTTCTTTCGCTGCGGCTGCTTGCTTTTGCTGCTGCTGCAGCTGCAGCACTGGAAGTGTCCGCCGATATTCCTCTGGAATACGACGAGGGAAAGATCTCCGAAGTTTGCATCGCAATGGACAAAAAAATAATCAAAAATAATATTTGCAAAAGATCAGGATCGACAGGTGAGCACATGGAGAGATATCGAGGGCACGCTTCAGCAGCAGCAACAGCAGCAGCAACAGCAGCAGCAGCAGCAGCTGCAGCAACAGCAGCAGCTGCAGCAATAGCCGCAGCAGTGACAACTGCAGCAGAATGCCGGGGCCAGCAACAGTAGACGAAGAAGCAGCAGCAGTGGCAGAAGAAGCCGACGCAGCAGCAGAAGCAGCAGCAGCAGTCTTAGATGCCAGCGCAACCACTTTAATCTGCCACTGAATTTAATTATTTATTTGCTGCTTTAATTTTTAAATTACTTTATTTGCTTTTTCTCTTTCAGCTGCAATGCTATTTGTTGAAAAGGACATCTTGCAGGAGCGAAGCTTCAGGTTGCATTCTGTTTTCGTCGGTAGGCCGCGAGCAGCGAAGTCCTTGTTTATTTGATTCTTCTTTAAAAAGTATTTCATTAATTTGAAATAAAACTTTTAAATTTAATATTTAATTGTATTCTTCTGTTTACAAACTCATTCCGGGCTTTGACTCGCCTGCACCCTTTGCAGCAGAAGCACTTCCTTTGGCTGCACCAGTTTCTTCGGTGGAAACAAAGTTGAAAAGGAGAACAAATAACAAGTTGTTTTTAAGATCCTTTGAAGAATTATATTTCAAGTTTGCAGCAGATCTGCAGCTGCACGGACTTCTGTGCAGCGAACAAGCTAACAGTTGAATATTCAACTTGATGTTGAATATTCAACTTGATGAAATATATTTACTTCATCAAGCTGCTGCTGTGCAGCTTAGTGCAACTTGATTCGCCCAACTGTGCTCTTAATTAAACTTGAAACTGAGTTTATGTTTCGCGTTGAAGAGTGGGCAATTAATTAAAGAATTCATTTTTCTTTCGCTGGCAGCTGAAGTGGTGAATGAGTGGCGGGGCGGCTGAAGGCCGTTTGCCTCGGCGAGGGAAGTTGGGAAATAAATTTAAAATGGAGAAGTGCATTAAAACAATAAAATAAAACATTTAATTTTATAAACATCTGCTTTCGCGTGCGGCTCAGGGGATTCCCGCATCAAGGCAATTGACTTGTCCAGCGACCGCTCGTTTTACCTCACTGAAGATCACAAGCCAGAAAGAGAAGAAGAAAAGCACAGAATTGAACTCAGTGGCGGCCGCGTCTACGCAGTGCATAATGTGTACCGCGTCAACGGCATTCTGAACGTGTCTCGGGCTTTTGGTGACAGCGTAAGAAACTGCAGGCTTCGCTTCGTTTCTTCCTTCGATAAATCAGAGTTTCCACCATTTATTAAATGCTAAGACGCTAGTGACGCACCAGGGCTTTCATTATTCATTTAATAAGGTGCTAAGGGCTTGAAAGAAGCAGCAGAAGTGACGCGCTGGGGCTTTAGGAGGCAGAGTTAGACAGCAGCCAGCTGGGATCAGCTTCCTCAGCTTTCTGTTTGCTGCGCGGGCCGTTGGCGAGTTCTGACGCTCATTTGACGGCGCATTTTGCTGAAAGTGTTTAAATAAATCCCGAGAAATTGTTTAAATGCCTTTTTATGCATCTGGGGGTCTCAAGAAAGCTCTGTTCGCACCCGCAGATCCTCAAGGACTATTCGGCTCGCCCGCCGTACGAGCAGCCGGTGGTGGCGCTGCCGGGGCAGCTTGAGGAGTTCATATCGCCTTCTTTTGTGATTCTAATTGCCTGTGACGGTGAGCCATGGCATTCTCTCCCATTTGCCTCGAAATGTAGCTAGCTAGCTAGCTAATAGCTGCAGCTTTCCCGCAATCCCGTGCGGCGGTCGGCCCTGGCTAGCTGCAGGCTAGCTTTTACCTAGCCTTCCCCGCCTGCCTCCGCAGTCTGCAGCAGCGCGGGTGTAGCTGCGGCGCTCTCTGCTGCTTCTTGCAGCAGAAAAGCCGCTAAATAACAATTTAGAAATAAAGAATAGACCGCTGGAGAGTCAAAAGAGCAGGCAGCAGCAAACAAGAAGCTCCTGTGACTTGCGCTGCTGCTGCGCGGCAGGAGTGTTCGAAACAGTCGACGCGGACCTGGACAACTTGGTGCGGCAGCAGCTGAAAAAGACGAACTTCGATTTGCTGAAAACTGTCCAAGAGATTCTGCAAGTGGCCTACAGCCGGGGCTCTCAAGACAACTTGTCGCTCTTGCTGGCGCGCGTGAACAACGAAGTGCAGCAAGAAGGCAGCCCCTTCGCCCTCGGCTGATCTGGCAGCCCTTTATCTGTATTGGCATTTGCAATACAGTACAAAGTATAAATTTATATACGCATGTATATATGATATATATATATATTACTTCTATAAATGTGTATATATATACATATATACACCTCTATATATATACTTTTATAGAGCTTACACAGCGGCGTATATATATATATAATATATATATATATAACTCTACATATATGCCTACGTAGAGGCGTGGGAAAAGGCAAGCTTCCGACTGCATGCCGGGGGTGCGCAGCTACAACTGCAGATTCGGACTTTTCGTTCTACACTTTTGTTCTTCTCTGTCTACTTCTGCACATTTCCTTGACTTGCCTGCCACTGAAGTCTAAAGGCTGAGTGACTTCGTAGAGGGGAGGTTCAACTTGGGAGAAAAAAGATGGAAAGCCAAAGTGAAAGCAAAGAAGGAGAACAAAACTTCTCCATACTTGTTTAATAGCCAAGTACGCAAGTGAGGAGGGTGTGATGGCCTTAGCAGCCATTCATTCAGTGGCTACTGCTGCAGCGTGATCATCTTTTGCTTGATTTGCTTCTGGTTTGCCACAAACTTTTCGTAAGGCAAAACGTAAATAAAAATGAATTCCTGCAGAGTCTGCACAACAGACTTCGTGCTGCTGCTGCTGCTGCTGCTGCTGCTGCTGCTGTCGGGTAAAGTGCTGAAGCGCACCTGCGAAGAGCAGAAGCAAAACCAAAAGGGAGGTAATTAATGAGCAGCTACTTGGCTACCTACAGGGGCCACTTGATTTATTATTGCCTTGTTCATTACATAAATTAATATATTTGTTCATTTAGTTTACTGTTTGGTTTGTCGGCGCGGCGAACGTGAGCTCGGATCCCTCGGACAAAATTTGATGTTCCATTTCCGCAAAGATGTAGTTAGAACGGCCTGAGATTATTGGAGAACAGCCAAATAAAGAAATAAACAAACTTATCCGTAAGTTTGTTTATTTCTTTATTTGGCTATAAACAAATGAACAAAGTGACGATTCGTTGACATGAAGGCTGGTCTGTTTTGTAATTCGTTGGTGACCAGAAAAACAAACAAACCCATGAGCAAAAAGGGCTAGGATATAGAAAAGGAAGAACTTAAAGTACAATCAGAAGTTGAAATAAAGGGAAAAGAAGCACTAAGAAGAAGGACACTGCATGGGAAGATAAGCTGGAAAAGAAATTAAAATTGGCGCGTCAGAACAGTGTCCAGCAAATTGAGAAGGGATGAAAAATAAATACAATTTATACTGCCCACGCATTTAACACACGAAGTTTGAAAAGTTCATAAATGAATTAAAACACCCAAATGCCATGCTGCCGACCTGCGGCGTTTTCTGCCTTTTGCTTTTTGGCCTTTTGCTTTTGTTCTCCTTTCTCTTTGTACACTCTGCGAACAAAAAAATAAAGCACAACAAAAAGATTTGCACATTAATCACCAGAACAAAGCACAACAAATAGATTTGCACATTAATCACCATCTTTATCAATATGACGACATCCACCTTAAATAGCAAAGTGGGAATTCAGCTCCGAAGCTGCGACATAAGAATTGGTAAAAAACTTCCAAATAAAAGAAAGCAAATTTACAAAAAATTTCAGGCCAATTAAACAACTAGAGGCAGTAAAAGGACAAAACTCTAGGAAGTAAAAGGATGAAATTGTAATCGAGCCAGGGAGCAAGCACCAGCTTGCAATCAGTAAATAAAGGGCGAACAGCTAGTAAGGGAAAAACTTGAGAAATAATTAATGAGGAGAACTTTTACAGGTGCGAAATTGAAAGGAAAAGAACCAAAACAACAAATGGCTGAAAGATAAGAGCCAAAGATGCAGGCAGCACTGCGGAACAAGATGTAACAACCAACAGAGAAGTTGCAAGCAAGAAGCGGCACACAGAACTAAACAAGAGAGAAATGAACAAGTGATAATAAAAGACAGTAAATAAAAAGCAACTAATTACAATGGCAATACGTTGGTCTTTAATTACACATTTATGAAATCAAAACGTAAAAAATATATGCACATTATGCAGGCAAACGCGCAAATGAAAAGCTAGAGCCAAACTGCCACTCACAGCGCCACGCCCAGCACGTGAGAAAATTTGTAAAACTTTCTTTCAGCTTCTTCCATCTCTTCTGTCTGCAGCGACCAATTGACGTCTTCGAGCAGAGACAAATAAGACTCTGCAACGATTTCGAGCGGCAAGTTGCGGTATCTCCCGCAAATCAGCACACAGGGATTGCTGTTGCTGCTGCTGCTGCTGCCTTTGCTGCTGCTGCTGCCTTTGCTGCTGCTGCTGCTGCTGATACAGGGGGTAAGCAGCTTTCCTGCGGCAAGGAAAAGACGCACAGCAATATCTGCTGCAGAGCAAGTGGCCGTGACCATAGGCAGATATATTCGGGCAAATGCAAAGAGACATAACTTATAATGAACGGGAAACAAACTTGAAACAAATTCAAAACCATCTTGAGGAAAATTCACAAGAACTCAAAGAACTGTCGCCGCCAAAATAGCACAAGTTGGACATACTAATTGGGTCAACTGAATGATTTCACCAATCAGTCGACAAATGTAATTGATTGAATTCATCAACTTTTCAGAAAAACAATTAATAGCTAATTAGTCGCTCATCGAATGGCCAAATAACTTTCCAGACAAATCAATTCTTCGCCTCACTTATTTCGTTTTCTGTGCTTTGCGGCGCATTCGACCTGCGACACACAAGAGAATTGAACTTAGAATAAATAAATCAATACGGTGATATTAGTGACGGGCTGTTTGCCGCTTGCAATTAGTAATTAGAATGGCCACAGGCAGTCGCTGATATGAATTTGGGGTTGCAGTAGCTGAGCATGAGTTGGCAGCAGCAGCAGCAGCTCAGCGTCAACTGCTGCTACAGCTGCTGTATCTGGGCTGCTGCTGCAGCTGTTGAAACTGAACTAGCAGCTGTCAGCCTGCAGCCGCAGCAACTGAATCTGAACTTGCAGCAGCAGCAGCAACAGCAGCTGGGTGTAAGTGGGCTGCTGCAGCAGCTGAACTTGAACCTGCTCACTTCGCCAGCTGCAGAACTTTCGTTAAGATCGGATCTGTTGCAGGAGTGTGCTGCTGCAGCGAAAGTAAAGAAACGAAGCCAACGGCTGTCCCCGTGTTCCCGTCTTCCGCTATGCGGATGACGCTGCCAATGTTTCCCTGGGAAGAGGAGAAAAGCAGCAGCAAATGAACAGCAGATTGCAAACAAATAACAAAATAAATGAATATATAAATTAATGGAGTAAATAATAAGCGATAAATCAGCAACACGCCGGCAAATAAAGGAGAAGCAAATCGAGAAGAAGCAAATGAAACTGAAACTAGAAAACGTGAATTCACTTGAAGCTGGAAACAAGCAGCGGCAGGTGACTAGAGCAATTGAAGGTGCCCGCAAATAAACCTCAATCAAAACAAATCCGTACAGAAATGCAGAAATAAACAAATAAACCAAAGGGGCTTCGGCTCACCTGGTTAGCCACTGCATGCGCCAAGGGCTTGAGCTGCTGCTGCTGCAGCTGCAGCTGCCCATACACGCGACTTTGCTTCAGCAGCAGCAGCAGCAGCGGCTCGTCCGTTTCTTTAGGGTCGAACAACTCGAAAGAGGCGCTGAGTTCGCCGTCAGAGTCCTGAGGCGAGGAGTGAACACAAAAGAATTCAGAAAAGACAAAAGACTCCAAACAAGTGCAAACAAATGCAAAATAATTGAAGTAAAGCAGCCCAAAACACAGAAACTCAATTAAATTAAAAGTTCTAAACCCTAATTGCAGAAACGCGCAAACAAATGGAGCTCTATTGGCTATTGGCTGTTCAGGAGAGCCAGTTCAACAAACTGAAAACTTTGGACTCAGGCGGCTCTTGCCTCTGCATTAACTTATTTGTTTAATTTCCAACTTATTAATTTAATTATTCATTGTTTTATATTTGCAACTCAAAGTTTATTCCATTTTGCTTCGATTTCGTCTGATGTGCATCGAATAGCACTCATTTCCGTGGGCCCATATACTAGCAGCGTGCACCCGAAGGCGTCTAGGGTTTAGGGTTTAGGGTTTAGGGTTTAGGCGCATAGTATAAGCAACTATGTGCCCAAAAGCCTAAATCCTAAACCCTAGACCCTAAACCCTAAACCCTGAACCCTAGAGCCTAAACCCTAGACCAAGCTGGCCTCGTTAGTATGCAGTTTCGACAACAAAGGCAGAGGCTCTAGTTGTACCAGACTCACGGCTTCAGGAGTTAGTGTTTAGGGTTTAGGGTTTCGAGAGTTAGCGATTAGGGTTTAGGGTTTCGGGAGTTAGGGTTTAGGGTTTAGGGTTCGGGGTTTACGTCTTCTGAATCACGGTCATCCCCGCCAACGAATTGAAGCTCAGAGCTTCCGCTGTCGCTTTCATCTTCGCTGCTGCTGCTGCTGTTGCTGTAGCTGCTGCTCTTGCCTTTGCTGCTGCTGCTGCTGCTGCTGCTGCTGCTGCCTTTGTTGGTGCACTTGGTGGGTTGGCTGCTGTCGCTCTCTCCCTCCTCAGACTCTGCTGCTGCTGCTGCTGCTGCTGCTGCTGTTTGTTCTCTCTGTCGTTTCTTTGTCTGCGCCTCTTTTCTTTTGGCTTTGGCTTGCAAGACAATTTCCTTATTTGCTTCTCCATTTGTTTGTCCTTTTTTATCTTTCTTTATTTGTTTAACTTCCTCCTGAGTTGATCTTCCTGTTCCTTGTTCTGTTTGCTTCTTCTTCTTTTTCTGCGTTTGCTGCTGCTCTGCGTTTGTCATTTTGACGGACTTCGAACCAATTAAGGACACAAAGCTGCTGCTGTCGCTGCTGCTGTTGCTGCTGCTGTTGCTGCTGCTGTTGCAGCTGCTCTTGTGGCTGCTGGTCTTGTTCCCGCACCGGGGGATATTTTCGCTGCTGCTGCTGCTGCTGTTTTCTCTTGGGGTGCTGCTGCAGGAGCTATTGTTGAAGCAGCTGCTGCTGTCGCTTCGCTGCAGCAGCCGCCAGCTTGTCCCTGCCTCTGCAGCTGCTGCTCTTTCTTGAGGCAGCAGAAAACTCAAAAATTATTTATTTAAATGTCAAAAAGAAGGAAATAAAGGGGCAGAGGGCCCCGCCGCCGCCCTTCAAATGCTGCGGGCAGCTGCCAGTGTTGAGCAGCGGTGAGCATACAGCCGAGATAAAATGAATTCAAAAAACATGAAATAATACTTTTTAAACTTATTTTTTGTCTTCCGAGAAGAACACACACGACGGAAAGTCCCGCGCAGCAGAAGAAGCACACGCTAGCTGTTGTTCGTGTTAGACTTACTGCTGCAGCTGCTGCAGCTGCTGCAACTGCAGCCGCTGCAGTTGTTGCTCATGTTGCCGCATAAGCGGCAGTCAGAAAGTGGGGATTTAATCCAGTTAAACTAAATCGACTACTTTAATTTAATGCATCGAATTGCTGTAGTCACCCTAGTTAACGTTTTGGGGCTGAGGCAGTAGCGTGGGGCTGCTGCAGCTGCTGCTGCAGCAGCAGCAGCAGCGGCTGCTGCTGCTACTCCAGTGGGCGGCGCGCGCTGGTTGTTGGATTTGATTGGACAAATTTGGATTGGCAGGTGTCCATACACCTAAGATATTTATTTCTTTGGTGTTTCCGGCTGCTGCTGCCGCTGCCGCTGCTGCTTTCGATTCCGGGAAGATGGGGGCCTACAAGTGAGTTTGTTGCTTCCGTTTGTGTCCCTTTTGTTCCGCAGTGTAGTTTTTTCGTGGCAATACTATTTATTCCATTTGTTTTGTTTTCTTCTTTCCCATCTTTGCTTTTCCGGCGGCGCTGCTGCCTCTACACCCCACTGCTGCAGGAGGAGCAGCAGCACCCCGCGACTCCCCACGCATGCAGCAGCAGCAGCAGCTGCCTGCAGCGCGTTTGTCTTCCCCATCTGCTTATTTTTTAATTTTTAAATTCAGCTGTGCAATTAAGAGCGCTTGCTGCTCAACCCACCTCCCCCATGGGCCCTCAGGGGCGCGGCAGCAGCCAATAGGCAGACACGTTGGCGGTTTGCATGCAGCAGCGTTTGCTGCTTTTATTTCCCCTTTATTTCTCTCTTTTTAATTCTTTTTTGATTCCCTTTTCTCAAGGCAAAGCCTTCTAATCACGGGCGAACGCAGTTTGCTTCTGCATGCATCGACGCGCCGTCCACACTCCTCTCTTATTTATTCATTTACTTATTTATATTCTTTCCTTTAGAGTCTCAGGCAAAAAAGGTCCCAAAGATTGCCACATGTTTGCAGCTGTGAAGCGCCGAGTGCCTTTGTGGGCGGCTGCGGCAAATGCTGCACAAGGAGAGGCAGCTTTGCTGAGTTATTCTTTCGTGTCGTTTCTTCAGTTTTCTTTTTCTTTCTTCTTCTGGGACTTATTCCATTTGTTTGTTCTTGTTCTTACTTATTTTTAGTTTGTTTATGTGCAGAATTTTTCTTTTTTCCGTTTACAAATTCGGCGAATGTTGAATTTTGTTCGATTGCAAGAAAGCTTTCGTGCGCGGAATGAGCCCCATGTTTGTGTCCGAATTAATTAATTGTTTTATTTTTGAATTGAGTCCTTTGTTGGATTTCTTTTTAGGTACTTGGAAGAGCTCTGGAAGAGAAAGCAATCAGATGTGCTGCGCTTTCTGCTGCGTGTGCGCACGTGGGAGTACCGCCAGCTGCCGGCCGTGCATAGGTGCAGCCGGCCGACGAGGCCTGACAAGGTGAATGGGGCAGCAAAACAGGAAAATAAAAGTTAAAAATTAGTAAATAAATAAAACTTTAGCATATTTCAGGTGGATTCGCAGTTGGAATTGGCTGAGACTGCGCGTTTCCCGTTTCGCGGGCTTCGGCTGCGCGGCGCCGCAGTCTGCACTTGAATAAGTTGAACTTTGCGGGGAGTGTGCGAACTGGGCAGCGAACTTTGCAGATATTTTGTTTTAAATTAATTATAATGAATGAATTACGTTTAAATAGTTTTGTTTTTCCGCGTTTGGCGCTGCATTCCGCAGGCGCGGCGGCTGGGCTACAAGAAGAAGCAGGGCTTCGTGATCTACCGCGTGCGCGTGCGCCGCGGAGACCGCAAGCGAATGGTGGCGAAGGGCATTGTCTACGGAAAGCCGACGAACCAGGGCGTGCGGAAGCAGAAGGCGAAGATGAATCTGCGGGAAGTGGCGGAGCGGCGGGTGAGCCGCAGCGTCTGCGGCAACTTGCGCTGCCTGAACAGCTACTGGGTGGGCCAGGACGCCGTCTACAAGTACTACGAAGTCATTTTGGTGGACCCCAGCCACGCGGCCATTCGCAACTGCCCCCGCTACAAGTACCTCTGCAAGAGCACCATGAAGCACCGCGAGCTCCGCGGCCTCACTGCTGCCGGCAGGAAGTCCAGGGGCCTCACTTGCAGGGGCTCCAAGAACAGCAAGCGCATGCCCAGCGTGCGGGCCAACTGGAAGCGGCGCCAGATGCTGCAGCTGCGCCGGCGCAGATGAGCGCCCCGCAGCAGCGGCGCCGCTGCTGCTGCTGCTGCTGCAGCAGCAGCAGCAGGGGCGGCGCTGCGCTGCTGCGCCTTGTTGTCGTTTTCTTGTGTGGAGGAGAGAGGCCGAAACAGATCTTTCAGTCACGGAATGCCACGCGTTTCTTGTTCCCCGCGAAGCAGCTTTGCTGCGCTTTAGTTTCGCTGCTGCTGACCTAGTTGCTGCTGCTGCTGCTGCTGCCTGGTTGCTGCTGCTGCTGCTGCTGCCTGGTTGCTGCTGCTGCCTGGTTGCTGCTGCTGCTTAGGCCTTTAAATGGCTCGCCGTGAGATGGCTTCTGTTTATTTTGCTGCACTTCTTCTACCTAGTTCTTCTATTTGGCTGGCGCCGCTGCAGCGCTCCACTACTCTCGCAATAAACCTTCAGAGGTGCACTGGCGCAAAGTGCTGCAGCGAGCAGCAGCAGCAGCAGCAGCAGCAGCAGCAGCAGCAGCAGCAAAGGGATCAAAAGGTACTGAACGAACGGGTCGAGTTGAAAAGCGGGAGCGGAGCCAACGAAAAGGGTCCACGCAAGATAAAATAGGAGATGCACATAAGTCAACGCAAAGAGCACTTCAGTTCGTTTGTGCTTCCTCATCTGTCCGTCAGCTGCTGCAGCTGCTGCAGCCGCTGCAGCAGCTGCCGCTGGATCTGCTGGGCAAGCAGCAGCTGCCCCGAGCCGCCGCTCGCGCTGCTGCTTCTTAGATTGCTTTTCATATTGTTGAATACTTCGCTGCAGTTCATTTGCCTTTGCTGAAAGAAGGCGCTGCGCCTCTCCCGCTGCTCGTGGCACCACCGCAGCTGCTCCTGCGCTGGCCGCGAGCATATGTCAACCAGAGAGTCGAAAGCTGCAGCCTCCAGCGACAGAGGATCCGCTGCTGCTGCTGCTGCTGCTGCTGCTGCTGCTGCTGAGTCAGTCCTAGCTGGGTTCGCGGGGTATGCGTGCAGCCCGTGCTCCGACGGGCGCCCAGCGGCAGGCGCTTCTGCGGTTGCTGCTGCTGTTCCTTCTCCTGCAGCAGCAGCAGCTGCTGCTGCTGCTGCTCTGGCGTGCTGCGCGCTTGCTTCTCTAATAATGTCTTTGAGAGACTCGGCAAGAGCCACCAGCGGAGCAGCACAGAAGCAGTTGTCGAGTGTATCTACAGGCAAGGGTGCAGCGGCGAATGCTGCTGCTGCATCTGCCACGCATTGACTCACTATGCTAGCCCACAGCTGCTGCTGTTGCTGCTGCGGGATGCTGCCGCCGCCAGCGCAGCGCAGCTTCCAGTACAGGTCCCGCAGCTGCCGCTGCTGCTGCTGCGCGGCCGCAGCAAAGGCAGCAGGCACTGCTGCTGCTACTCCTCCTGCTACAGCCGGAGGCCCCCAGTCTGCTGCTGCTGTTTCTTTGGCAGCAGCAGCAACTGCGTCCATGAAGGCGCTGCTGTTGCACAGGAGAGACGCGAGGTGTCTATACACTAGAGCCCGCAACTCGCTAACCGCCATCTCCGTATCTTTTATTGTGTTTATTATTTGCTGCTGCTCTTCAAAGGACAAAGATGATAACAAGCCCGTATTGCAACCAGCACCAACCTGGTGTTGCTGCTGCTGCTCCTGCTGCTGCTGCTGCTGGGAGCTTTGTCGCCCATGCTGCTGCTGCTGTTTCTGCTGCTCCTGCTGCAGGCCATGCATAATTAACTGGGTGTGTAGAGCCTGTAGCAGCTGCTGAGCTGACTCCACAGCAGAAACTTTGTGCGTGAGGCCCCATAGGGACCCCGGGCTATGCTGCTGCTGCATGGGCGGCACCAGCTGTAGCAGCAGCAACTGCTGCTGCTGAGAGTGAGGCAGCCGCGTGCTGCTCGTCAGCGATAGAGAGGAGCTGCTGCTGTCCAGCCCTTCACCGCTGCTGCTGCTGCTGCTGAATTGAAATGTCAGCCTGTGCTTTAAGGGTTTGAGGTGCTCGTTTGTCTGCTGCAGCAACAACGCGAGGTGCGGCAGCAGCAGCTTCAGCAGCTGGGCGTCCTCTGCTGCTGCAACGAAGGCGCACATCCTCCTGTCCTTCTTGCTCTTTTCAGTTTTAATTTTTTCCATTTTGCTTTTTTCGGTACTTAGACACAAAGCGGCTGAGCAAGGCTCAGCCAGCAGCGAGCTCAACTCCCCTGGGAGGGCAGCAGCAGCAGCAGCAGCAATGTACAGCCGCAGCAACCGCAGCATCGCTGCTACTGTGGCTGCTGCTGCCCCTGGCGCTGCGGCAGCAAGCTGCCAATACACCTCAAGTTTCCTCGCTACTGCAGCGGCAGCAGCAACGACCACCGGAGAGCTGCCTGTACACCTCACTGAGCTTGCTGCTGCTGCTCGCAGCTCCAAATCTATCGCAGCTAGCTCTGCAGCAGCTAACGAGCGCTGCTGCTGCTGTTGCTGCTGCAGGGCCCGAGCAGGATCCATTGCTGCTGCTGCAGCAAAGGGCTTGCCTGGCTGCCACGTGGCAAATGGGTTTTGTGCGTTGGCCGCCACCAGCTGCTGCCCGCACCTTTGACACCTCTTTGAGCTTTTATTTAGTTGTCTTCCTTTATTTCCGTTTGCTGCATTTAAACTGGAGGCATTCCCGTCGGCGTCGCTGGTGGGAAGCGGAGGCGCTGTGGCGAAGCACGAGTCCTCTAGTGCAGCCGACGGCAGCGGCCAAGAGATGCTGCCGCTGCTGCTGCTGCTGCTGTGAAAGGAAAGCAGCAGCACGGGCTGCCTGTGTCTCACCGGGAGTCGATCCCAGCTCTCTTTCCTGATTTGTTGCAGCAGAACAGCAATGGTTTCTGTCTCCAGGTGAGACAGCGCAGCTTCAACTCGCAGCAGCAGCAGCTCATGCAACCTGCTGCTGCTGCTGCAGCTACTGCTGCCGCTGCTGTTTCTGCTGCTGCTTTTGGTGGTACTGCTGGAGTTGGCGGTACCTCTGCACGAGTCCACCGCGCCAGGATCAGCTGCAGCTGCAGCAGCTGCTGTTAGTGCTGCTGCTGCTGCTGCTGCGTCCGCTGCTACAGCTGCTGCTGTCGCATCTGCAAGTGTTTGCAAATCCAAGAGCCCATCACTGAGGCCTGCCGCTGCTGCGCCTGTTGCTGCTGTTGCTAGGGTTGTTGCTGTTGCTGCAGCTGTTGCTGCTGCCTGCAACAATTTGTCAGCCTCTGGGTTAGCAGCAGCAACGAACGCCTCTCCCGCTGCAGTAAAGGCTCTCAGTGCTGTAGCAAAAGATATAAAATCAGAAAGTGCAGCAGAGTCATCTACAGCGATGGGCACCACAGCAGCCACCTCAGCTATCTGCTGCTGCAGCTGCTCCCACAAGCTGCGCCGCTGCTGCAGCAGCAGCCGCCGCACTTGCAGCAAAAATAAACCCAGTCGCAGACCAGACGGGAGACCTCGTAGCCTCTGCCGCGCTCTTGCTGCCAATTCCATTGCGCTTGGGCTGTTGCTGTTGCTGCCACCTGTCGATTCAGCTGCCGCTGCTGCTGCAGCTGCTGCTGCAATGTCGAAGTCTGTTTTGCTGCTGCCAGCAGCAGCACCATCTTCCTCGCGTTGCGCTTGCCGATGCTTCTGAAGCTGCTCCTGATGCAGCTGCTCCTGCTGCAGCAGCATGAGCTGCTGCTGCTGTGCCTGCTGCTGCTGCTGTGACCATTCGTCCAGTACCCAGAGAGCCTCTGCTGCGTGCCACCTAATAAGAGCAGCAGCGCCGACGAGAAAGTCAAACAGCAAGCCCATCAGCCTAATAAGACAAGCAGCGCCATCGGCTGCTGCAACAGAAGTAGCGAGAGAAGCGGCAGACGGGAGGCCCAAGACATCTGCTGCTGCTGCTGCTGCGCCTGCAGCAGCAGCAGCTGCTGCTGCTGCTGCTGTCCCCGGACCAGCAGCAGCGTCCGGCAGCAGCAGCAGTCTGCTCCGCAGCTGCTGGCGCACCTCAAGGCTCTCAGCCTCTGCCTCTGAGAAGGCGGCAGCATCAGCAGGCACGTACGCAAACAGCACCTGACGTGCTGCAGCAGCAGCTGCTGCTGCTATTGCTGCAGCAACAGCAGCGCCCACGGAGGACGAGGGGGGCAGCAGAGAAAAGGCGCTAACCGCAGAGTAATACAGCCCCCATGTGTCCTCGCTACTGCCTGAAGCAGCAGCAGCAGCAGCAGCAGCAGCAGCAGCAGGTTTTGCAGGCCTTTTCCAGCAGCAGCTGCAAGAGGGGGGCGGCAGTGAACGCGCCGCCAACTGCAGCACGCAGCTGAGTTCGGATTTAAGTCTGTTGGTCATCTGCTGCGCCTGAGGACACAAAAGAAGCAATTATGTCTTCGCGCGCAAATAAATATATAAATTTATACTTAAATATATGATATATACTTAATAAATATATGCATACAGTGCATATACATATATATGTGCCTCCTTGCATGAAGTGCAGCCGCTGCTGCAGCAGCTGCAGGCAGCTGCTGCTGCTGCTGCTCTCCGCCGCAGCTGCAGGTAACTGCAGCTCCTGCAGGGTTTAGAGGCAAACAGAACGTGAGGACTAAAGAGGCAGCAAATCAGAAGAGCAACTACGGGCAGACAAACAGGCTTCAGCAGCAAATGCAGCAGCAGCAGCAACCTCAGCAGCAGCAAACGCAACAAGAAATGTTGCTGCCCGCACAGGGCTCCACAACGAATGCGCTGGGACGCAGCAAAAGTTTGGCCACTGGATTATGCGCCTAAGCTGGACTGCCAAACAAAGCAAGGGTTTGGTGTTTAGGGTTTAGGGTTTAGGGTTTAGGGTTTTCAGACCTTTGCTGCTGCTCTTTTTGCATACAGCTGTATCTTCTGCTGCGCCTTTGGATCCACTTCTGGGCTTGCGCCGTTCACTCCTTTTGCATCAATTATATTATTTGTTATATTTGTTGCATTTGTTGCAGTTATTGCATTTGTTATATTTGTTGCATTTGTTGCATTTGTTACATTTGTGCTGCTTGTCTTCGTAGAGATGCTTAGAGCAGCAGCTTCCATGAGAAGAGCTGCCTGCAGCGGCAAGTCAGCAGCCGCAAAGGAGCAACTAGCAGCAGCAGTAACGGCGGCTTCGAGCTGCTGCAGCCGCAGCAGCTGCTGCTGCTCCTGCTGCAGCTGCTGCTGCCGCTGCTGCTGCTCCAGAATTGACAAAGGCAGCAGCAAATGGCTGCGGTGAAAGTCGGACAAATAAAAACGAAGCGATCTCGCTGAGACAAGTAAACCTTCTACTGCTGATTGGAGGCCCCTGCAGCAGTCAAAAGCAACGAGAAAAGAGCAAACAAGTTGCAAAATAACTAAATAAATAAGTCAATGGTGAAAAAGTTCAACTATAAAATGCAAATAACTGAATTTATTCATTCAACAACTCAGCCCCACCCCAAAACCGAAGCAGCCTTCGTCAGCTCATCTCTCTGCTCCGCCACCAGAGCCTTTAAGATTTGAGTGGCCTGTACATACACCTCAAAAAAGAAAAGTAGAAATAAGTGAAGTTGCATTTGTTCGCAAAGTGCACATACACTTCTAGTGTACATACACTCCAGCCTGATGTGTTCGCGCGCTTTATTTCTGCAAAAAGGCACTTCATTAATTCATTCTTTTTCACTTATGCTGGAGCCCAACTGGCTGCCTAAGAGCCCCCACGCAGCCAACTTCAAGGCCTTTTTGATTAATTTAAAAATATATTTCAAATTTAACTTCTGAAGTTTTGTTAGCTTGAGAAACTCCCTGCAGCCTCCGCCTCTAAAACGCCCCCAAGGGATTCCGTGGACACAGCGAGACACCAGCCACGGCTAGGCACTCATATGTACACATTTATCTATACTTATAATATATATATATCCATATACTCATACATAATATATATATATTCATATATATATATGTGCATACGTATACATGCATGCATATATATAATACATATATACACAGATATGCATGCATTACAAATATATACAACATATGTATATATATATATATACATATATATACAACATATATATATATATTGTGTTGAAAGTAAAAGAGCTAAAGTGGAGAGAAGCCCCAGCCGTTCAAACAAAGGGGCAGTCAAACGCAGGCCATTTGGCCGTGGCCGCTGGCTGCGGGCGTCCATAGAGAAGCGCCCATAGTTAGCCGCAGCCCCAAGAGTTGAAGATAAGTCTAAGACTTTTTGCTAAAGAGGAAGTTGTGCAAAGAAGTGGCCCCGCTGACCTCCCCCTTGTGCTTCAGCAGCTGCTCCAGACGCACAAGAACGTTAACTATCAACTCGCCCTGCTGCGGCAGCTGCTGCAGCTCCCAGGCGACGCAGGCGGAGGCGCGGGGTGTCCGTGCGCCTGTTGCTGCTGCTGCTGTGCCTGCTGCTGCTGCTGCTGTGTCTGCTGCTGCTGCTGCTGCTGCGTCTGCTGCTGACGCGGACTCGTCTACTGTGTACACTTCGGCGAGGCGAGCCACGAACGCCTCAGCAGCAGCAGCAGCAGCGCAGGATCTGCTCTTGCCCTCATTTTTACTTGCTGCTGAAGCTGAGGCGCAGCGGAGTGGCCCCTCGGTGTTGTCTGCAGAGGCATTCTTCTCCGCTGAGACGCAAGGGCTGCTTGAGCTGGAGACAGAGTGGCCCTGCTGCTGCTCTTGCTGCTGCTGCTGCTGCTGTTCAGCCCGCGCAGAAGCGGGAGCTGCAGCACCTGCGTCTGCCATTCCTCTGCTGCGCTTTGCTGCTGCCGGCCCTGCGGCTGTGGCTGCGGCGGCGAGCAGCTGGTGGTGGCGCCTGAGGGCTCATTTGGGGCCCTCTGTGGCAAGCGGTGCCTTGGCTGAGGAAAGCAGCAGATCCGGTCAAGTGCAGAGCATCCAAATGGTAACCAGAGGTCCAACGGACGACGGGGAAGTTTCAGGGAAGCAAGAGGGGATAAATGAGAAAATAATAAATAGAAACTCCCAGTGATGTTTAAAACACGCAAAGACAAGGAAAATACAAGAGGATCACGGCTCAGTAGAAACCCGCCGCACTAGAGTGTATGCACGCCAGCCAGCTGGGGTTTTGGTTTTGCGGAGTTGGGACAAGTAGGTCTTCTTTCTTGTCTTCTTCTTTCATTCAAAAATTAATAAATCCATTCAATTCATTATTTTGTCTCTGAAAAGAAACAAATCGACAGCCGGGACCTCCACCGAGCGCCGACGACGCATGCACGGCCTACTAAGCTCTGCTGAGAAATGAAACTCATGGGCTCAGCTCCTCATACTTTAGTTCTTGGCTTACATAATCCCATATTGATTTTTAAATTCAATATTTACATGAAGTAACCCAGCAGATGCAGCATTACTAGACAAACGACACTTGTGCTATCCGCTGAGTCCGTGGGGCAATTGCTCGGCAATTGCTACGATCAGAGTATCATCAACTTGAAGCTTATTTTTGTCTCGATCTATTAATTTGCCAGCTGGCTGCAAGTTTTACGTTTTCCATTATTTTTTACTGCATACTGCTTGTCTTTCTTTTCTAGTTGCTGCGCCACAGCACTGCTACGTGCTCTCGGAAATGAACAGTAGGACGCGTTTCACAAATTGCTACCAGCCACCTAAGTTAGTCGCAGCTTGGTAGGCAGCTCATGGCATTATATCCCCGCAGCGTTTAGTGCTGCCGCTGTGGCAAATGGCCTCACGAGGCTCTAGCAGGGTCACATGCAGCACAAACTGCACTGAGACAGGCCTGTCCAACAGAGACAGGCCTGTCCAGAGCTGCGGGCCATTAGGGGCTGCATTGGGGGTGACTCGGAGTGGCTAAGACAGCGAGAAGTGTCACAGCCTCAGCAAGGCACTGCTGCGTGAAGTCCCACACTTTCTCCGCGTCTCTTGTGGGCATCAGAGCCCGACTGATAAGTTTCAAAGCGCTCTCAGCGTCTTCACTGCAGCTTCGTAAACTTCTTCCCCTCTTGACTAGGCCAGTATGATGCATGCAGCCGCTGCCGCCGCCTCTGCATGCAGGCGACGCCCCCACAGCTCCGCTCCCGAGGGCAGTTGGGTCCTTGGGGATTGGAGGTGGTGCCTACCGAAGACTTCTTCAGCTAATGAACCAGCTCTGAGGCATTCTGCAGTTGCTTGCAAGGCTTCTGTGTTGGTCCTTCTTGTCGCACTCGTTAGGTCTAAAGTGATAGGCTCCCAGTTACCGCTGGCGTTCATTTCCCAATGGTTCTCAAGCTGCCTGTTAAGCACCAGTTAGAGTCGCAAGTTTCACTGCAACTTGCTAAAAGCTATTTTGCGCTGCACTTTATCATTTCTGCTACATGGCAGCAGCGCCTTCTCTCCTGTTGGCCACCACTGACATTGCCGGTTCTTGGCTTTGCTAGTTAGGGCACATCACCGCTAGCAGCTTAGTAATTTAGTCCCCTGTAACACAAGTGCCGGTTTCCGGCAATTAGACCGCCTCAGATTGCTATGGCTAGCTATAGATAGTGGGAGGTAACTGCGGGCAGCTGCGCCGAGCTGCAGCTTGCTGCAGCTACCTACAGCCACTGACAGCTAGCTGCTGCAGTATAGGACCAGACAAAGCTGCCTGCAGCTCGCTACAGCTACTTGCAGCAGGCTACAACTTAGTGCAGCTCGCCTCAGCTAGCCACAGCTAGCGGCTTCTGTGTGTATCGCCTCAGCTAGCCACAGCTAGCGGCCTCTGTGTGTATTTGTGCTCCGCAGAACAGCTAAATCATAGCGTAAGTGTTGCATATGCAACGCGCATTTTTTCCTTTCCATTAAATGCTACTATTCTCCTTGTAACTATTGCAAGTATCACAGTGGACCGCGAACTGTACTCCAGTTGTCTTGCTGCAGTACTTGTCGACAGGCAACATGGAAGAATTGGTTGCTCGCTAACGCAAACCTTTACCTCATAAACGCAGTTGCATGACTCATTCTGCGTGCCCGAAGATGATCCCCACCACATTATGACTATCGGCTTTGTAATTACCATTTTATCGCAAACTGTTTAGTAATCAGTGCTTTATCTGGCGGGAAGCGCTGCACTTACCAGCATAGGTGATCACCGAACTGTTTCGTCCTTTTTATCGTTGATATGCGTAGCTTGATCCTAATAAATATGTCTAGGAGTACCTTTTTCAATCCCGCTATGCGTCTTTATCAGCTCAATTACTTCACTGATTGTCGCCCCTCTTTTCAAGGCAGTGTTAAGCTGGAGAACTACATTGACGCATGCTCTAAAATTGCATATGAGTGATACGGTAAGTTTGGCTGAGTTCCTGAACGTTCACTTTGGCAGAATTGTCGCACGACTTGACAGTAGTAAGAAACGACATCGTCACGTGACCATTGTCCTAAGCCAGTGGCAAATGGGAGCACCAGCAGAGAATACGCTTGATGATTTCCTGCACTTATTTCCTTATTTCCCAAAACAATTTATTTTTTGGAGGCTTCGGTCTGCTTCGGAAAGTGTGTCCTCACTTGCGAGTATATGCTTTCAGCTTCCCAGCCCCAGCGGGACATGGTCAGGTCACTATGCTCAGTTACCGGTGACCACTGTACATTGAGCGTCGGCAGCTCTCCTAAGCCCCAATAAGCTGAAAAAAGGGTAATATTGAATTAAATAGCTTATTTCTCGTTGAATGCTTTTTTTTCAAGAGCTAAAAAGGTGTTTTCAGGTCTTATTCTTCAACTTGCAGTGCCTGCAGATCAGATAGGTGCCGGTTGCCTTCGGCCGCAGTAAGTCATCCACTTGCAGGAATCTATTCACTCTGCGAGAAGTAGTTCATCAGAGCATATTACTTCAGTTTGTCTACTATTTCGTATTAGTGGATTTTGTTTACCTTCGGGCTTCTTCGCCGGCTCGACCAGTCAGCGCCGCTCCCATGGGTTTCCCCATGCTGCAAACATGAATAGCGCTCATCCTTACAATTATTTTCGTCTGCGTAGTGTTCCTTCCCTTTTCTTGGCTCTAAATTTTCTTAACAGGTGCCTCTAACACTCTTGGGACAAGATAACTCAAGTGTTTCTTTGCCATGGTGAATCATATTTCTGCTGGTGTCCACGAGCAGCAGCTCAACGCACCATGTGACTTCCCCCTGAAGCCCCCAAACATATGCCATCCAGGAGTCTCTGTCACCTCTGTCTCTACTGCCAGTGGGAGCGCACTTTCGCTGCAGTCTCTCGGTGGTTCCTTTGCCATCCCCGGCTCAGCAGACACCGCAGGGTGCACCACCCCAGCTAGCTGTAGCTACCCCAGTAACGCTAGCGGCAGTGCCCGCTCCGCAGATGGCTCTATCACTGCAGCTAAGTCGAATTGGGGCAGCAGCAGCGCTCACACCGTTCTCAAGCACCAGTACATCGCGGTGCTGCCCACCGGGACCCCCTCCAGCTCTCTAGGGATCCCGCAAGCTGCTGTGGCCACCACAGACTGCTCACCGGCTTGGGCACAGTACCAGACGAGCTGCACTGCTGGATCATGCACTCCTCTCTACTGCAGCCTTACCCCTACGCCCACTGCCCTCTGCCATGGCGGCACTCCCCTGGAAGAGGGACAGCTGCGCGGGGAATCCTCTGGGTCCAGTTGTCAGGAGACCCCGAAAAAAGAGCAACAAGAAGAGGCAGCGGAAGCTGCTACAGGTACTGCTGCCGTTGCAGGAGGAAGGGCTCATCGCTCTTCTCTGTTGTTGCAAGAGCGACCTTTGCAGGTTGCTTCGTTGCCTGAGGAGGTGCAGCAGGCCTTGAAGGAGAGCCACGACCTAGCCGCAGAAGCCGCTGCAGCAGAACAGCAACCCCACCTTGCCCTCCCTGACTGGTTCGACCCCCTCGCCGGCTGCATCCGCCGTGAGTGTCTGCCCGAGCTGCCCTCTTATCGTCAGACCCTCAACACTTCAGTGGCGCGATTGTCGGTCGCTTCACGGGTGCATCATCGCGTTCGATGGCCAGGAGAGCCTGCGAAAATAACAGCTGCAGTCTCGTCAGCAGCAGCAGCAGCAGGGGGACCAGCGGGGCTGGGGGCGAGGAGGGTTCCACCACTAAATCCAGGGCTTCTGCGGCGAAAATCCGACTCAGCTGCTCTGTTGTCATATTCACACTCTTCAATTGGGAGCGCCGAAGGAACTGCAGACACTCCAGTAGCAGCAGCAGCTGCTGCTGCTGCTGGGGTTGGGGCAGGCGTCGCGGCGCGACACAGGCGGGTGCGGTTTGCTACAGTGGCTTCCGCAAGGGAATTCAGGGACTCAACACCTTCACCAGCAGTAACAGCAGAAGCTGTTGCTTCTGGCTGTGGAGCTTTCTATAATACAGGTCTTTATCACGTACATACGTCACTGCAGCAGCAGCAGGCGGATACATCAGCAGCAACAGCTGAAGCAGATATGACCCCCAAGGAGCTGCTACAAAAAACAGCCGAGTGCCGAAGTGTCCTTGTGTTGAAGTTAATGAAGCAAATGATAGAGCAATTAGTCAATCTTTCTTCGCCTCAATGCAGTGAAGACGCTAAAGTGAGCAGCACTTTCAATACAGTGCAGTTGGGACGCATTAACCCCTGGAACTTCACATGCAAGCTTGTTCTGTAACAATTTCATTCGTTCTATTTTTTCCTTCTTCCTTTGCTAGAGCCAGCAGGAAAATAAAGCCGAGTCGAGGAAAACAGGCGATAGTGTTCTATAGACAGCGCAACTGAATTAATTGAAGAACAATGGGTGGAGTGCATCTTGTAACTTGGCTTCGTCATTATTTGTTGCCATACATCGATTCAGTGTGTGCCGCTTCCTTTTGTCAGTGCTTTTCGTTCAAGCTTTATGCGCATGCTATTGTTAGCTCAGTGCCTAATACACGTTTTCATTTGCAATTTCCGCTTTTAGGTTCTGCAAGAGAGCCTGCAACTGCTGCGTTCCTTCTCGTTGGAGTGTTCTGGCCGCCTTCCTGCGCTATGTTTCCTGGGGGATGCCTTGACTAACTGCGGCAAATTGATTGAGGAAAAACTGCAAACGAATGAAGAGCAACAGCTAATTCAGCTTGTCGACAAGACCAAGCAGCCCTTGCTGTCGAGAGATGCCGTCATGAGGCTCCACAGAATGAGAATGCAAATGAGGCATACTCCAGAGCTCGAGCTGTTCCTCACGCCACTTGAAACCCTGCAGGTACGCCCTTGACCATAACCCCTAGGTGCTAGGTCCTGAAGAATACAGAATGTAGACTGAACGGCAACCGATATAGGTCCATTACTGATGGACCTTTGTGCAGCAGTACTGATGCTGCACAAAGGCATAGAGTGTTGAGGGAGAACGATATAGAGCTTGAGGGGAGGATTTAGGACTTATGTTCTCGCCTGCAACCTCTAGGAAATAAGGCGCAAGTTGGCCTTTAGGACAACAGCCTTCTGCAGGCCGAACCGTCGGGTGTGAAAGCACAAAGAGTGTATTAGTTTCATCGCATTGTTTAGCCTGTTGACTTCTGTTCACATTCACCTCCACATGCATGTATATACTGGCTTTTTCCTTCACGTCATATATTCAAGCTAAAATCCTAGTCTCTTGGAACCAGTGGCGAGTGAGCTTGCATATCTGGCCACTGTCCTCAAGTGCTTCTATTAACTGTTTTACAAACTTTGAACTACCATTGTGTGTTCCAGTGTTGTTCATCGATTTACATGTGCTTACTGCATGTTTCTACAACTAATTTCAGCGCCTCAAGATATGCGACAGACGCAGGGCTACCTCTGGGCTTTGCCTTTACGCCGCTACCGCCGACCAGCCACTGTTACGCTGTGACCCGCCGATACAACCCAACGTATTTGCAGTGTAAGCAGAGTAGACGCCTTGCTAAAGAAGAAAAGAGGGTATGGAACAATTAGGGCCACGAGTGCTGCATGCGCTGTCTTTCGTTCGATACGTGAAAGGAAAAATACAAATTTGTGCGGAAGCTGGCGTGCTGCACCTTCCTTGTATAGCACAAGTTGATGATTTACTGCCTTTCCTGGCCTAGTGTAGCTTGCCGTTGCTATACTCTCTTGTTCCTGTAGCTTGATCTTGTGCTTGTGTTGACTGTGCCGTGGTGCTTGTGCTGCTGAGGAGATGCAGCTGTATCTGCACTAATCACAAGAAGAAGAACCTGTAGCATGCTGGGCCACAGACTGTCTGTGTCTCCCTCTTTTATCTATATTCACTTTTCTTGCTTTTCCACTTTTGTATTTGTTTACTGTTTTGTCCTATTCTTTTGCTTAGTGGGGACTCGGCGTGCGGTGTGGTATCTACGCGGCCCTGGCTCAAATGCAAGGATCCAAGGGCCTTCGCGACCGATATTTTGAATTTCTGCAAGCGTCAAATTCAACAAATAAAGCAAGCCGCACAAGCCAAACAGACAGAGCAATCAAAAGAGGCGGATGAAACACTGAAGACTGAATCAGTTTCCAGGCCATCAGGCCCAAATATTGGTTCATCTCAACTTGAATCAAACGTCAATTTGTCCCAACTTCATTCAAACATTAGCTTGGCTCAACTTGTCGAACAAGCTCTAGTTAACACTCAAGAATTCGGCGCCTGCAGCATCGGTTTACTGTGGCTTGACGATGCAGGTCAGCATTGCGGTGCTAATTTAGATATGTTTTCGTGCTCGCTGTTTAGCATGAAACGGTTTGCCATTGATCTTTATTCAGTGTATTAGTATAGGTGTTATTCGACGCAAAAAAACAGACTTCGTTCTACCCTGCATAAAGCTGTTGCATTTAGCCGTGAAGCATACTCTGTTCGCTTGAAGTATCAAGGCTGGTCAGAGTCTCGTGCTGCCTATACTTGCTTATTTGTGCCCGTTGTGCTGCCGCTGCTCTGCCCATTGGTGTTCGGGGTTAGAGCGCATGGCTTTGGCTGCTTTGTTTCTGTGGTCGTAGCCATGGAAAAAATTTGTGACTGTGCGTGAGACTAGAGCTCCGCTTGTATTCGTGCGTGCGTTTACTTGCGTTTCCGTTTTCCTAAATGCAAATATGGACACAAAAGATTTCCTCGCGAACTGTGAAGCTGCTCTTTGTAGATACTTGCATATCAAATATTGGCATTTCTGTTTGTACTTGTAGATTTCATATTTCTATTTATAATTGAGGCCAGATTCCGTCCTTGCCCTGAGCCGTTTTACTTCCTTTCTACCATGATTATTCGCCAAACTTAACTTTTCTCTAGGTCTTATTTTCTGTCGTTTGTGCTTGCTGGAACTTTGTGTTCATTTGTATGTCTGCCTTCAACTTCGTATTCGTGGTATGCCTTTCTATCCTTCAATTTTCTAAATATTTGGCCTGTACATGAAGGTGAACGACTTCGTTTCGCGACAAGTGGCTACATGCGCCTCTTCGTCTTGCGGCGCTCTCCGGCGTCGGGAATTTTGTCGAGGGTCGCGGAAGCACCAATGCGCAACGCAGCGATTGCTGCCGAGACGCAAATCTTCAAGTGGCCCTCACGGCAGCAGATACTCGAGCAGCAGGGACATTGCACTGAAAACAAAAGCTACAGAACTCGGGAGGCACACAAAGTAGAAGAAAAGATTGATCCGGGGGCGCTCAGGTAAACTGCGGACAGTCACTGCGATGATTATATATCGATATTAAACAGAATCTGCAGAAGAAGTAGACCTCACCTGCTCTTACATGGAAAATTTTGAACATTTCAGGGTTTGTGCGTTAAGGATTCACCGTTTTGGAGTGAGCAATTGATATTCAGACTTAGATTACGTGAACACGCTTTGCAGCGTGTGCTTCTAAATGCCTCTTCATAGAAGGGATAATGCTCATTGTTGAATGCGCAGACATACGGCACAGTTGGATGGGCCTTGAGGTGTATGATTTGGGGTTTCTAGTTTGTGTTGTATACCAATGCAGACAGGGTATAATGCGCATTGTCGAGTGGGCTGACCAAGGAACAAATTGGAGCCACCGGGGAATGGTTGAGCAGGAAGTATTTGTGCAGGAAGGCGACTTTTTTGTCATTGCTGACGATAGTAAGCTATGCAATGAAGGACTCGAATAATAAGTAGAGAAACAGTCAATTCACTAGGAAAACCAGCACTAAGAGAATCAACCAGCAGCACTAGGAGAATCAACCAGCAGCATGGTCCTGCCTGAATATGCAGCTGAACAGTGGAGAAAAACTAGTAGACACATGCAACACGCAGCGATAGCAGCCCTTCCCAGGCCACGCGCCGTTGCCTCATTTCCATTTCGTGCAGTGGGGAACACAGTAAAGGAAAGTATGGCCGGAATGTGCTCGGCGCCTAACTAAACAAAGTGGCAAATGCTTTTCATTTTACTGTTATTTTTGTTGTTTCACTGTCTCTTTCAGTTCTATTCGATGTAGTCAACTGCGACGAAATCCGCCATCTGTTCTCCTGTTGTTTGACATCAGTCGAGGTAAACGAGCAGCTGTTGTGAACCCTAAAGTGTGCAGCTTACACACTGGACCATTAACGCACAGCCCCTGAGCCAAAACCACAAATCTTTTGCCTCTGCGTTCAGAGCAAGGACGTAACTGACGTTTCCCTCTGCATAGCTCCTTCTTGTTTACCAACTCTGCTGAAACGTCTGTGGAAGCAGCGCGTGCCAAATCTCCACTCCCTCCTGTCTAGAATGGAGGAGAGGCAGCAGCGGCTGGCCTCCCAAGCAGCAGGAAGAAGAGCCGTGGCTGAAGCACTTGAAGTCTGCCCACTTGACCTCTCGATTGCTGCTGGATGGATACGCAAAAAACCAGACGCGGAGGAGGCCTGACGGTGTCACGTCGATCCTTTGCTTGGAAGAGATTAGAAACAAGCCAACAGGTATACTAAGTCATCCTGCAGCTGCTGCTGTTCCTGCAGCTGCTGCAGTGGGCGCGAACAGCAAGCCTACCCCCGCCGCTGTGGCTCATCTGCTCGACTGCAAACTTGCAGAGGCCAGGAAATATAGTTCTCGCTTCGTTCGTCAGCCGAAGTGCGAGCAGGAACAGCGAGTTGATCTCCGTCTTGTGTTCATGAACGTTGGTGGTGTGACTGCAAGCAGCAAGCCACAACCTACGTAACGGTGCACCAAAAAGGGCTCGCTGCTCCCTTGACTGGCCCAAAGCGGCCCACGAACTACTCACGAGCAACGCTGCATAGTGAGCTAGCCACGCAACTGGCTGCTTAGCTGGCCAGCTAGCGAACTAGCAAGCTTGTCAAGAGGATACTTCTACAGTGCTTCATTGGCTCGCGCTGTCCTTTACGCATACACTGGTACTTTTGGCTGGCCACGTTAGGGCTTTCATTGTTGAGAGTTCCACAGTTTATGGTTACGAGTTTGCTGGCGCAGTGCTCAAGGTTCTGCGTTTGAGAATGGGTAAGCGGTGCACGAGGCCTCATCTTGCTTTTCGGTGATACAAAGAGTACATTGTCACTGTTGCAGACGCTAGATGTAGCGGAGCCGACCGGGGAAAACATCGGTCACTTCCGCTGAAAGTAGGGACCAGAACAGCAAGTAGGCTACAGGCGAAACATAAAAGAGATTGAGTACCGTTCACCTCACCGTTCAAAGCACAACACGTCCAAAGCCGGGGCTGCGGGCGATGCGCTGTTTACGTGACTTGTGTTCTGTACACGCACAACCCTGCCCTGTACAAGCTATACTCTGTGCCACACCCTTTGTACCCTGTGCAAACTACATTCTCAAAGAGCCTTGCACCCGCGTGCTGCTGCCTCAGCAGCTGCGCCGCCCGCAGAAATTCGGTTGCTCTGTACAACGCGCACGCCTAACGTGCACCCCTGAATGGCGCTAGCCACCTGGCACGGACACAAAAGAACCCACTAACAAACTACCTGCACGGGTAGTCAACTAAGGCAAGGGGGCTGCTGCTGGCTACGGGCAGCCCTTGACCCTCTAACACAGCAGCAGGCTGCTGGCAAAGGGCCTTTCTAGCGTCCCACGCCTCAGAGTCACAGCATTTAAAGAACTTTGAAGTACAAAACAGAAAAAGCAACAGCAATCATCAAGCATTAACAAGTATTGCTTTGGCTTTCCCCGCCTCCGCCGAACTGGTTTTGTGCCATACATATGTAGGATTTAGACGTTTATACAAATCCACGCGTACACACATGTGCCGCTCGCTAAGATAAAGCCACTGCAGCATCCTTGAGTCATCATGCAGACGCTTTGAGTCCACTTGCGGTGTTCTCATAGGCGCTTGGCAGTACAATGGGCTTCTTGTTAGTCCGCCGCTTTCTGCCAACCCACTGCTGCTATAGCTCAAGTGCATGTCCGCTTTGGTATTCAAAATTCTGAGAAAGGTCCCTAACCCTCATGTAGACTTTAAACTCTCCTTATGCCGCCTCTGCGCTTTGTCTCGGCACGTATTGTTTCTGTCGTTCGCTGCTCCAATCCTGCGCCCTACTGCGGCCTCTCGGGCGCCACTCTCCCCTCCCTGCATTTCGAAGCAACGAAATTAGAAACATACAATCAGTTACATACATGACAACGAATACAAGTGCGACCTCAGACGAGAAGAACTCACACAGAACCCTGCCTCATTAGTGCGCGATCGTCACAATGTCGTAATCTAGCTTCAAGCAACGTGGTCTACTTTGTCTTGTGCAAACCTCCATGAGTTCGCGTGCTACGTTGTGCTCACAAGGCTCATTTCTGTAGCTGCCGTTTCCACCAGTTCTGCACATAGTCATCGCACAGCAAAGATTGTTCAATGGAGCACTAAATATAAAGCCTTACGACAAGAGGATGCATGAATGCATGGCAAATAAACATGAATATGGTATACAGCAATATCAATGTGGCACGTATGAACGTCAAAAACCACGACAAAGAAATGTTCTGCGCGTTCGGCCAGAGAGCCGTGGCGAGATACCACATCGCAAATGAAGGAAACACACAAAAGCATGATGTTAACAAACGCATGCATCCCTTGCCTGCCGCCACGAGAACCGCGAGGAACCCAAGAATCCACTTGACCTCCACGTCTGTATCCGAAAGAGCCCCCGCGCCGTCCTGCAGCCAATAAACAGCCCAAAACACCGAATAAAAAGATTTGAAAACCAAGAGAAAGGAGCAACGCTACGTGTTCAGGCTCTGTTTCTTCTAGCCTCAGCGATATGCTGTCGCGGAGGACACGCATGTCTACACTTCCTCAATAAAACCATGGTGACAAAAACCATATCCACTTTCACCCTAGACGCGCGTAAACCGGTGCAGGAATGCACTGCTTTCCTCTAGGCACTAGTCAAGTACATAATAGCAGCTAGTGCAGAGGTGACGGAGGGAACAAAGAAAGAACGCAGATGGCTACGGCGTTGGGCTTGATCCTTCTTGTCTCCCACGATCAAACGCACGCCTTTAGCATATTCATGACCGCAGGCATACATAAACAGATGCAAACACTAACCGAAACAATTGCTATTTCATTCACCGCCTTCAAGGTACCTACCGGGTCGCCGTCCTCTGTTCCAATTACTAAAGTTCGGCCTTTCTCCTGCCTCCTCTTTCTGCAGTTGCTCCCACATGTCGTGTTTCCACTCGCCTTCGTTTTCATCTGGGGTCCAGAGTTTCTTGCTGGAGCCTACTCTGCAGGGCGTCCACCATACAGGAGTGGAATCACAGCAAGTCAGGACCGCATCTCCTTTTAAATTGCGTTTCCCTTCCATTCTGTCACTTGCATGTTGCGCATAGTTTTCCCATGCATTTCCTCATTTTACTACTTGCTTTATCAGCTAAAACAAACGCACATAGTTTCCCCATGTATTCCCTCGTTTTAGGAGTTGTTTTATCGGCCAAATATGACGTGAAAGGGTAGCCAATGTGCTAATATCCCTGCACAAAAGAAGGATACCCACCGCGTCTGAGTGCTCCGAGGTATTCTCGTATCCGGCTGGCTGTCGGAGTCCTCATCGGAGGCCTCTGATTTGCTGCTGTCGCCATCTCGCCTATCATCATGCAGAAAGTACCGCGTGGCTCTTGGCACGTAGGAGGGGTCTTCTTGCATAAGCTGAACGCAAATTCAGTACCCGCTGCATGTCCTTTTTGAATTTCATGGACACGAATGCACTTAGTGAACTCAAAGAACACATTCATTAGGAGGGATCGAAGCTTGAACGAACCCCACAAAGAGAAGAGCCAAAGCACGAGGGCTTCAGTTAGCTGTATTGGCCAAGGGGCCGAAGGCACCCGAAACCGCGTCAAAATGCATGCAATTACCCACTTGACCCAATGCACTCATATCCCTCTTCAATATACTCAAACCAATCCACCGCCCCCTCCCATTAACCAGAGTTTTTTGTGGCCCAAAATGGAAGCAAAGGAAGCAGGAGAGCTCACCTGCCATGTTGACTTTGGGCGGGCTCTGAATCCGTCCCCAGAAGATGCACTTCTGTGGTGTTTGCCCTCGTCCCTCGCCGCTTCATTTCCTGCAGTTTGTTCATTTTCCGGGGTCTTTGGAGACTCCTTGGAGGCCTTGGGGTCACTCGAAGCCGCAAGGGACGCCTCAGCAGCCCCAGCGGAAGACGGAGAGGCAGAAGTCGTGGCTTGAACTGCTGAGGCGGAGCCCACCGAGTCGCCGCCAGTCGCGGCTGCGTCACGAGTTGCCTCTTCTGCCTCTTCATCGCTTCCCGAGCTTACTAAGGATGCATGCAAACGCACGTCGGGAAATAAACGGAAATACGCAAGAATGAGCACCCTTGAAACAAATATGGGTGGCGGTAGCTGTTTGGGGGCGAGGCGAGAAACACGGGCCGGGAAAAGGGACGGTCCCGGCGCAGCAAACAACACCTGGGTTCTGAACCTGCATGTGCACTCCAAGGCTTCAAGTTAGGGCTTTACATCAGGATGTGGTTTACGATTACGTTTGGGTTTACACTTCAGCATGGACACGCATCCAGTGGGTGCAGTGTCTCACTCTCCGACTTGTCATCAAACACATCGCCCTCGTCTTCGTCCTGTGAAGACGCCCGGCGAAGATGCCGCGGATTGCCCATTTCACTCTGTTTATAAGATAGTTGTAAACGAAACAATGCTTATTTCAGAGCCAATGGCCACCGCTTTCCACTTTTCTGCACGCCCGCAGTTGCTGCAAGCTGCAGCTGAAATCAGCACGCGCAGCAAAGCCCTTAGGACGTGCGAACAGACCCTTCACCTCTTCTTCAGCCTAAATCTGAACGTAGGGGGACCGTTTCAGTTGCGCAGAAGGCGAAACTTCAGTCTATTACGCGAAAAGTTGATTGGCGATTAGGGGAAGACAATCACAACTGCACACTTACACCTTGTGGCTCTGGTGGGGACCTCCGCACAAAGCCTGCAGTAATTCTGAACATCTGAGGACTTAGCGACGGCGGCCTGCGTCCAAAGAGTTAAACGAAGCCCTGTGGGATAATACTGGTGCTTCCGCCAGCGCACCTCCAGAGTTAGAACGGCACCGCCTGCCTGATATAGAAATGTGCTGGATGTTTCTCTGAATGTTTTGCGCACTTACTGCAAGAGTTCCGAAGAAATGCATTCTAATTTAGCCCCTCAAAGGAAGCCGTGCTGGTGTGGTCGCAGCAGCATGCAAATAGCAGCTGCCGTACTTACCGCCAGTCTTTGGGCGGCGGCCCGGCAGATAGGCAGCGCCTGAATCTCTCACAAAAATTGATTCGAATGATCCAATTTGACATACGTGTGAAACGTTCTTCTTTTAATGAGCAGCAAACCACCAGACATGTCCCCTTTTTGACTGACATGTTCGCATGCCTCGCTGAGCGAAGCCTGGTCGAGGATGCACTGCCCTATGGATTCGAAACTCTTTGTTGTGCCATAATAAACTCAAATTGTCATTTCTGGCCACTTTAATATCCGAAGCCTTAAGATTTATGGCAGGTTCGGCTCTGTCCGCTGCTCATCAGCGAACTGGCCCACTGCTGCGGGACGCAGGGGCGATAATAATGGCTATGGCCAAGTCCCGTGCTAAGATACTGCATTGCCATTTTTGAGGAGACGGTGGCCTTTGCACACGTACAGCCTTTCACAGCATTGTCTACAATTGTACTGCAGTAAAAGCGCAGCACAGCATTGCACGGAAAGGGCCAATTGCACTCTTCGAACCTTACGTGTGGAGGGCATTCAGTTTCACTCGTAGCCCTCATGCGGGAAGGAGAAGGGCTGGTGAGTACGCGTAGAGTGTTCCCCAGTGCGGCAGGCGTGGCCTGCTTCTGACGGGTGCGGTGACAAACGAATCTGGCTTCTGCAATCTGACGCGGGGATTCGTTCCGTCGAAGGTATTCCGTCTGTCTGTGCACCATGCGCTTGAGAAGAGTGCGAGCTATAGCCCGGAAGACCGGGCTTGCGGCGTAGCAGTAAGCAGCCACTCGCGTAGCTAGCTTTTTATGGATACACTGGCAAACTGTGATAAGCTGCCTTCATGGGAAAGTCTGCGGGCACAAAAACCGCGTCCAATGATATGTATTCACTGTTGAGGTATGTAGAAGAGCAGTCCCAGAGGTCTGTTCCTCTGTCAAGACCTGCACAGTATTGCAGAGGTACTCCCAGATACAACACCGTGGCCTGCACAGTAAAGTTATGGGGCCACTACTACCAGCCACGGATGTGATGCTGCTAGCGTCAGCGCCCACGGATGAAATTCTACTAGCGGCAGGGTTTGCCACTGTTGCAGCGTCTCTTGCTCCTATAAACAAAGCAACTGTCAATGAGAGTTGACATAGATTTTGCACATAGGAGCACGCAGTATACCTTTCCTGATTTCTACTTATTGCGGTTTGTTGCTGATCCCCTCTAGGGTTATTTTTTCCCCACAACGGAGACGCAGAATTCTCCTACACCTCACGTGCAGCGTTGAAAATCTGCGCTCATGCAGCAAATGCACCGCTACATCGCGCCACCATACGTCGAATACGTACATACAGGAACTGTGAGCGACAACGACATGAAACGCTTCACCACGATTTGCCCCAAAGAGAGCGGCACAGTGTCAGTGACAGCCGTTCACTTACGTTTCTTTAGCTTTGGTTACCTCTCTCTTGTCGTCAGTATGTGTAACTTAAGTTCGCCTTCACGTTTGTTTGGTGCTTGACAGAAGTTTCTTGTTCTCACAGTATCGAAGTTTATTGCGTTCACATGTATTTTCTACTTGACAAAAATCATTAATTTTTCATATCCGACACCGGAATCATGCAACTGACAAGCGACTTTCTGGCACAGCTGGTTGGTCCGCTACTGCAACCTGAAAAAGAAGATTGATTCTCCCACTCAGAATCTTTTGCTTGTTTGCGTACAGCGTCAAGTGCTGCGACAGCATGCTGCGTTACTGATAGATTTCTCACTCAAGTTTTCTTTCTTTATAAAAAAATATTGAAAATTAAAAATAACTAAGTCTGTGACCTACAACACCTTGGTAGGAGGGCTTCTATAGAATTACGCGCTTCTCCCACCGAGGCGTTCTGCTCAGTTTAGGCGTTTTAGGACAAACCAAAGGTCGAGAGTGCCAACTTTCCAGACCTCAGGCATTACAAAGGGAGTATGAGACCAAATACACTGGCTTCTCTCTTCTCAGTTGTTTCAAACAAGCTTTTTGAAACAAAAGGTTGTTGCAATCGCTGGCGTTTTAGCCTTCAAACCTTTCAAAGCAACTGATTATGCTAAAGTTTCTTGATTGTGTGATTTTTCGTGGGCATTTGCAGTGGGCGCTTGTTCGGTATCCGCCTTTCCGAAGATTGTAGGGGAAAGGATGGCGAGATAGCCTCCTCCCACGGGTTTGAACTGCCACCACAGTATGCCAACTACAAACGAAAGTTCAATACTAACGAAGAATTGGCAAAGTCTCCACAAGGTAGGAACAACAGCACCAGCTGAGGGGTTATCAGCAGAAGTCAACACTACTTGCACATAAACTGTTTATCCATGTAGAGGCATCAGACGAGGTCTGCTTTTCAGCAGACCACAATCCTTATAGTCTGAGGCTGTGACACAATGTGAAATGCGCAAGGGTGTTTAGTGTATCAGTGCAAGCAAAGGCGCAGCAGCCATCTCCGCGCACGTCTTCTACTCGCGCTAAGCAGTTGCAGCAAATATTTTCTTCATAATTGAAGCGCAATATCGTGCCTTTGTGTAGAAAATGATTTGCCCCATTACGGCGTTGCGTCATCGTGTGCTCCACGCAGTGTTACCCATTGTTGCAGCGTGGAATCCTAGTTCGCTTCACACATGCTACAACTGTGCGTTGCTGCAGCATGGTATAATAACCCATTTGACCCTTAAAAAGTATTTGTAAAATAACAGAAAATATCAGCATAAGAAGGGAGAGGCTGTGAGCGACTGGAGGGGTACGCGTGGTGCGTGCCAGCTGGCGAGCCACACTGTCCCCACAGTTGCACTGGGACAAGACCAGAACGATGCAGCGGCTAAGCGTTAAATTTCCCACAGAAAAAGAATAAATTAATAAATAGCACCGTGAAACTAAGTAGTGCTCTTTCCTTCCCGTTACAACTGGCAAATGTGGTAAGGGAGCAGAGATTGGCCCAGTTTGTAATCATTCAGTAACAGTCCGCAGTAACTTCAGAAAAAGGAGAATTACGAAGAATTTTGTAATGTAGCTATAAGAAGCCCATAGTTAACTCCTTAAGGGTTTTTGAAACATTGATTCGAAGTCCGAACCCATTAATTTTTCCCCCAAAATGTGTCAGAACCCCATGCTTCTTGTCCGCTGCGCACACGAAGCCGACCGGGGCTGGCTCTCAGACGGCGTCTCCAAATCAGCACTGGAGAGGTTCAGAGCGTTTGAATTGTTTTTCTTCTTGATTTTTGAAACTTCGGCAAGCTTAACGTTTTCAAGCGAAAATGGTTCGTTCCTTCGCCTCCTTTGTCTTTTTCGCCAGTCTTGCAGCTGTGACTGCAGCTGCGAGCGGCCCGACGCCGGCGCTGGGTTCCTTCGGATATGAGGCTCAAACCGCCTCACAGGTTTCAGTTGATGTTCCTCTGGGCCAGCAGAAACATGAAGCAATTTTACGTAGACGCTCTAGGGGTGCTCGAGTGCTCCTGGCGACGTCTGCGCTAGCCGCCACACTAGCAATGGCCTTCCTCATCATGCACTGCTTCATGTTGCTAAAGAATTCCCAACATCGTGGCTCCCGCCTGCGCCGACTTTCGTCTGATGATGAAGGTGCATGCGAAGTAAGCCGTGGTGATTCAGGGATGAATAAGGTTCGCCGGCAGGTGGCCCAACGAATGCGAATCGACTCCAACGACCGCAGCTCATTGGGTCTTACGTTATGCTGCCGATTGCGAACCCGACGCTTTCGTTTGCCACAAGTAGATACAGATTGGCCAGTAGTGGCTTCGCCTGCTGCCGAGCTCGCCAATGGGGACAGACGGGGGGATGAGGCGTCGGATATCGAGGGACGAGGAGAAATGCTCGTCAGGTAGAGGCCGTAAATTCGCTGTATTTGCAGCAAGTGGGTCTTGTCAATGCAGCCCCTGCTTTGCATACAGGGAGCACGTGAAGGGCCTCCTTTACTCAATATTGAGTCTTGCTTTGCAAGCGTATATCCAGTGTTCCCTTGAGCTTCCTACGTTAAGAGTGCATGCGTATTGCAGCATGGTTTGCATGAGTGGTGGTTAAATGTAGGGATCACACTTATTCCTTTATCTTGCTGACTTCATGCGCCTCCATCGCTTTCTCGCCTATTCTCTTGCGCCTTGAGCTCGGCGTAACTTGCCTTGTCAACAATACAGTACTGCGGTTGCCTGATTACATGATCGGCGCACGCCCTTTTTTGGGACTGCTGCCATACGGTTTTGCTGGTATCCGCGGGAGATCGGTTCGCTGCTTGCATTTGCCTTCACCATGTTCAGGTGGTAAGTTCTGCATTGTAGGCTCAGATTGGTGCCTTTCCAGAGGAGCTTTCCGTATTCTTGGTTGTTTGTGAAGCCCGTTTGCCGCCTGCACTTGCTTTTGCCAGGTTGAGGAGGTGAGTTTTGCATTGCAGGCTCAGATTCGTGCGTTTCCAGAGGAGCGAGAGCGGCCTGCAAACCTCCCCAAACGCTCCAGGGTATTGTGGCGAGTTTTGCATGAGGTGTGCGTGATTGTTGGGAGCATGTCCCTTCGTTTAGATTATTGACGCCGCGATCATTCAGTTTTCGTTTTCTTGGTTGTTTGCTCCTTGGGCCTGGCGTGGCTCGTGTTGTCAATTGGACAGTTCTGTGTTCGTCAAATTACGGGGCGCGGCGCAACGCTTTTTTTGCGGATACTCCCAGGTGTGTACTGTGTCTCCGCGTGAAGCCCGTTTGCCGCCTGCACTTGCTTTTGCCAGGTGGTGAGTTTTGCATTGCAGGCTCAGATTCGTGCGTTTCCAGAGGAGCGAGAGCGGCCTGCATACCTTCCCAAACGCTCCAGGGTATTGTGGCGAGTTTTGCATGAGGCGTGCGTGATTGTTGGGAGCATGTCCCTTCGTTTAAATTGTTGACGCCGCGATCATTCAGTTTTCGTTTTCTCGGTTGTTTGCTCCTTGGGCCTGGCGTGGCTCGTGTTGTCAACTGGACATTTCTGTGGTCATCAAATTACGGGGCGCGGCGCAACGCTTTTCTTGCGGATACTCCCAGGTGTGTTCTGTGTCTCCGCGTGAAGCCCGTTTGCCGCCTGCATTTGCTTTTGCCAGGAAGAGGTGGTGAGTTTTGCATTGCAGGCTCAGATTCGTGCGTTTCCAGAGGAGCGAGAGCGGCCTGCATACTTCCCCAAACGCTCCAGGGTATTGTGGCGAGTTTTGCATGAGGTGTGCGTGATTGTGGGGAGCATGTCCATTCGTTTAGATTGTTGACGCCGCGATCATTCAGTTTTCGTTTTCTTGGTTGTTTGCTCCTTGGGCCTGGCGTGGCTCGTGTTGTCAACTGGACAGTTCTGTGTTCGTCAAGTTACGGGGCGCGGCGCAGCGCTTTTCTCGCGGATACTCCCAGGTGTGTTCTGTGTTTCCGCATGAAGCCCGTTTGCCGCCTGCACTTGCTTTTGCCAGGCTGAGGAGGTGAGTTTTGCATTGCAGGCTCAGATTCGTGCGTTTCCAGAGGAGCGAGAGCGGCCTGCAAACCCCCCCACAAACGCTCCAGGGTATTGTGGCGAGTTTTGCATGAGGTGTGCGTGATTGTTGGGAGCGTATCGATTCGTTTGGATTGTTGGAAGAATGTCCATTCATATAGATTATTGGCCGTGTGCCGTTTTAGTCGCGCAGATGTTAGCATGGCGTTTTCTGGACTCTTTCTACACGTTTTGCGTGTTTTCACGTGAGGACAGTTCTATGCCTTCATTTATTCTTTCCAAGCGGGGGATTTGAGTTCTGCACTGCAGGCTCAGATTCATCTCTTTCCGGAGGAGTGGGATCGGTTCGCCTACCTGCCCAAAAGTTTTGGAGTGTTGTGGCAAGATTCGCGTGAGATGTTCATTGCTACAGGGAGTCCGTTAATTGTGCCTTCATTTATTCTTTCCAAGCGGGGGATTTGAGTTCTGCACTGCAGGCTCAGATTCATCTCTTTCCGGAGGAGTGGGATCGGTTCGCGTACCTGCCCAAAAGTTTTGGAGTGCTGTGGCAAGATTCGCGTGAGATGTTCATTGCTACAGGGAGTCCGTTAATTGTTTTATGTTGCTAATGCTACGCGCGTTCGCTTCATGCTGTTAATGCTATGCGCGTTCGCTTCTTTTCCGTATGTTCTCATGCCTCGTGCTAGTTACTTTGGCAACGGGGCATCAATGCTCTGTGCCTCTGCGTGAGGCCGGTCTCCCGCGTTCATTCATTTCTTCCAGGCTGAGGGAGTGTGTTTTCAACTGCGAGCTCAGACTTGTGTCTTCATAAGAACGAGAGCGGCTTGCTTGCTTCGCGAGAAGCTTCAGGGGTCCATGGCGAGACTAGCACAGCTTATGTGTAGTTGCAGGGAGTACGCCTTGTTTAGTGGTGCTTAGCGTTTTGTGCAAATCATACACGGCATGAACCTGCAGGCTTGCTGCTTGTTCTGTGAGACGGTGGAGTGTGGTGAATAGGAGGCTACCGATATGCACGCTGCGGCTGAGTGGCATGCGAGAGCTGAATGAAGGGCGCTTTTCCTGCTTCGCGACATTCGTCTTTGCGACAGGAGTCTCCTGATCATGGTTTCCAAGTTGCAGGTGAAAGCATTCTTTTGCATACGAGTGACTTGTTGAGGTTTCCTGCTGACAGAGCTTGCAGGCTTCCCGTTTCGTGCAATATTGATTATAGGCCCATGCATTCGATTAAGCTTTCAGTGGTGTTGGAGTCGGTTGAGTTTCACAACTTGGTGCTGGTGGGGAAAAGACGTGTGGAAGTCACACACAGCTGCTACGCGCTAACATGCGTGCGTGGCACGCTGTGTTGCGCATGCTCCAGTTGCACAGTGAAGTCAAGGAGAAAATGCTGCAGTTGATTGCATCATGCGTACATCGGTTTTTTCCTTTTGAGAACAGTCTATTGCCGCTGCGGCAGCAATGTAGTGCGTGTCAGACACGTTTGTTGTTCCCCAGGTAGTGCGTCCATACGTGGCTCTGATTTGAAGAATCGGTGGATCTTTTAAGGATGGCGTTTGTGATTGCGCGGGATGAGGCCGTGCAGCACTTCAGCTAGAGGTGGCGCGCATCTAAGATACCAGCTATGGGCCCTGGCATCTGGTTACTTCTCATGGGGTTTTGGATGATTCTGCACAGCTTGTTGGCGCACGCAGCAGTGGCAGTGGTTGGTAGTGCTGCAGGGTTTGATGGGCTGGCGACGTCGTGGGGTAGTGACTGCTGGCTTGCTGTCATTCGTCGCCTCAGACAGTGCGTTGATATCACAATTTGGCAACGGAATATATCCGAAAGCGGCTCATGATTGCTTTTAATATGCACGGCTCAGTCAAGCTGGCCTGCTTGGTACAGTGGTACCCATGGGCGGGAGTGGTTCGCCACTTGCTGAGAAGAATATGCATGACTTAGGAAGTGCGCAGCAGTCCCCTTCTTTCCTGCCATTGTAGCTGTCCGCAATCCGTCACTGCTTTAATTGAAGGCACTGCCAAGCTCACGGACAAAAACAATGGGGCAGTTGCTAGCTAAGCAAATGATGCGCGTGTGTTTTAGCACTCGTCGGCCCTTAGAGGACTGCGTAAGCAGTCACGAATTCGGGAAATTCACATAGTGAAGGTACGGGCCACTTTTTCGCTGTAAGTAGTGCAGGGTTTAGGATGGTGCGTATAGAGTAGCAGTACAGCGTGCGGCGCTGTGGCAGAGATGGCACTGCTGGTATAGGAAGTGCGTCTACAGAATTTGCTAGCTCATCACCAAAATAAGTTGGAAAGGTACTGCAGGCTGCCGAATTGATGGGACAAGACGGCGGTGGGACAGCGCGCTCCTCGTACCAGTGGGGCGGGCCGCCAGTTAAGTCTACAGGGAAAAGTGCCGATCTAGTCTTTTGGCAAGAGAGCCATCGGCGTACTTGCAGAGAAACAGTACACCATGCGGTACTGCTACTCTTGCCACTGTGGTGTTGTAGGAAGTGCGCCAGTAGAGTGTGCCGGCCCAGCATGTAATTGCTCTAGTTCGTTGTGAGGCAGACAATGGAAGGAAGTAGCTGCAACAGGGTGCTTCTTTGGTGATCTAAGTTGATAAGCATGCGTCCACCGGTCCAGGTCTTCTTAACTGCCGCTACTGCCACTGGCTAGCGCAGCAGCACAGTGTACATCACTAACAACTATTTGCGTAGCCGCATTTATTTGATTTGTTCGCATGCTGCAGGCAGTGCGTTAATGCCGCGATGCGGCTATCTCTGCTGTTCAGGTGCCTGCCCAGGACGGATCTCTGGGATCTTATAATGATCGAGTTCCATGCCGAGTAAACTACTGTTTCTTCTAGCGAGTGCGTTTGAAACGGTGCCGCACGCCGATTTGCAAAATGCAGGCAAAGCCGTGCACAACTATCCAGGACGCGAATGGTCCAGCATTGCCACTTCGGAATGCACAAGCAACCAGGTTTTCTAATAAATAATTGTTGAACTCATGGAACATGTGATAGGAGGAGCACAAGCCTAACGCACTTGGGGCAGAAAGTGTGTCTGGCAGAAAACCGACAGCAACGCATTTCCATTTCTGCTTACTTTACTGCTTGGGGCGTTGCTCTGCTCATGGAACTTGGGCTTAGAAACTTTGGTCTTATCTGCACTTAACTGACTTGGTCACCAACATGCTCCAGGCGGTGCGTCTGCGCTTTTGCCAGGCGAAACGGGCGTATGCCGGCTGAAATAAGTAGGCTACTGTCAAACAGAAATAGTGGTTGCTGCTTTGGGGTATTTCTCCGCAGAGGTAGCGAGGAGAAAACAGAGGAACTCGAGATTGGATCGAAACAGAGGGTGTGTTGGATTTCTTGCTTTAATATTGTTTGTAAATGAAATGCCTTGTGGGGA